CATTGAAATTTCTATGGGAAAATAACTATTACTCCAAGTTTCAATTTTCCTTTTCTAATTGAAATGGTTATTTTGATAGGATTATTTTTGATAATGTGAGGTTTCTTAGACTTAAAATTAATACCTAAAAGAATGGGTATATATCACTATTGTTTGTGTGTATGCAAACTATTTAAAAGGATCAGTATCCGGGGCGCCTGTGTGGCTTAGTCGGTTAAGCGTCCGACTTTCGCTTAGGTCATGATCTCATGGTTCGTGGGTTCAAGCCCCGCGTCAGGCTCTATGCTGACAGCCAGCTCAGAGCCTGGAGCCTGTTTCCAATTCTGTGTCTCCCTCTCTCTCTGAGAGGTTTTTAAGTTTAAAAACTCCTCCTCCTCCTCTGCTCACGCTGTCTCTCTCTCTCCTAGAAATAAATAAAACATTAAAAAAAAAATTTTAAAAAAAAGGATCAGTATCCTATAAATGTATCCATTATATTCACATTTTCCTGTGTTAAATGATTTGAAAATAATTTTCCAAAAAAGTTGTGGAGAAATAAAACCCCATTGGGAAATTGATTAAAATTTAACCCTAACCTAGAAAATAATGGTATCTTAGCAATATTCAGAGTTGTCATGTATTAATCAGGTTTTATAGTTTTTCTTAAATAGAGAATCACAGGAACATTCCTAGGTGTTTTGTGTTACTTTGTTGTTGTGATTGACTTATTTTTCCTTTCATAAATATTTCTTAGGTGATGATCTTTTAGATTTTTATTTTACGACAGCCTCTCTATTGAATTTAGATAAATTGATACCATTTTTCAGATGAATGTCTTTTATTTTCCAGGAAACTATGCACCATGGTATCATAAATGGTTCTAGGAAACAGAAATAATTGTTCTTAGTTTTCCCTTTATTTTTACCTTGCTGAAGGTAGTTGACCCACACCTAGGAGATGATTCTCACATTTGCTCCTCTGATCTCTCCGAGCTTTGTTAACATCCGACGTGTGTTTCCGCATTTCAGAGCCTCCTCTTCAGTGGCTGTGGAGCGGTCACCACTGTCCAGTTAAGCTTCTGTGATTGGGTATTTCTGTTTCTGGGCCTTTCCTTCTCAGGTGGTTGACGGATCTGAAGTTCTTTGCAAGAAAGAGACTTTTCCGGGTTGCCTTCGGAGGCGGGAGTTCATGACAGGGATGTGAGGAACAGAAGGCCTGCACACCTGGACGTTCCTTACTTCCCAGGAGTAACAGCACAGCATCCAGCAGGCGTGCCTCCTCAGCTCAGGCTCCCAGCTTCCCAGCGCGTGCCTGGCTTTCCTCTTGGTGAAGGTGGAGGTTTGAGTGGGGTCACCTACCCCCTGTTAGGATATGCAGTGCTTCAGCGGGGCTTTAGTGTGGACCTTGCAGCATAGGGTTTTCCAGCATGTGGCCTCCATCTGTGGTTTCTGGAGGAAAAGCCACGGGCAGGCATTTTGGATCATGATGATGACTACACAAAATGAATCTGGTCTCTGGTTTCCTCATCTGCTGTGTCCTCAGGGGTCACAGCTGAGACCCTGTCCTCCTCCCCGGTGTTGGCATACCGTCGAGATTGCCTCTGGGTCTCGTTTCCCTGTCTCCCATCTCGTCCATTTCCTCCTCGAAGTCTGAGTCCCTGGCATGCACATTCTCTGCCTTGAGCATGAGCTGTGCTGGGGCACAGCCTCCCCTCCTTCAGGGGAGGAGTGATCCAGGGGGGCGCTCCAGGTTGGCCTCGCATTTCCAGCGACCCCAGCTCACTCCTCCACCGTGGGCAGGGTCTCCACTGTCCTCACCCCCGCCCTTCACGTCTGCCCTTATGATGCTGGGTTTCCTAACACCTGCCTATGTCTACACATTTGCCACCATGAAGAATCCACTTGGAAGGTTTCTGAACGCAGCCCACGTCCTCTGTGGTTTGGAAAGCCAGAGTGTTTTTCCTTATAAACTTCCTTTCTTCACGTTTCTTCCTTCTCACTTGTCAGTGCCCTGCTGATGGTGGCACCGATGTCGCTGTCACTTCTGGTTTGGATTTCATAGCAGCGGGATGGGCCTCCTGCTCATTCTTAACTAAAGCTTCTGCCTACTGACTGCTGTCCAGCTTTCTGCAGCTCAAGAGTAAACTGAGTAAATGGCCAGACCATACAAGGCATTTATTCCTTCCTTCTTGACCCTAGGATGTGTGGACTCATCCCTGAGTTTTTCTCATAGCTTGACCTGAGCAGGTGCCGCCTCACCGATCCAGGACCCCAGCCTGGCTGTACAGGAGAACCACAAGGGGCTCCTAAAGATATGTTGCTTAGGTCTCTTCTCAAGGTCCTGATCTAACCGGTCTAGGGGGAGGTGCAGGTGTGAGAAAACAAACAAGGAGTCCTCCAGGTGATGGTGCACAACCAGAGGGCAGAGCCCTTGTGAACAGAGAGAGGCTCACATTCCGTTCTTTCCCTGAACGTCTCTTCTGGATCCATGAGGTCCTGCCGCACGACTGCGGCTTGCCAGCGTGCTCATCTCCTCACCCGGGCTGAGAAACGGCAGAGAAAATCCTGGTGAACCTAACCTGATACGGCCTGCTCCTGACAAAGTTCTGCACACCGGGACTCTGTTTGTTCTGAGATTCGTTTGTTTATTTGACGGCCAGGAGTTGAGTGTCTGTTAATGTGACGGCACTATTCCAGGTGCTACAGGAGCAGTTTGACAAGGATGTATCCTTACAGGGCTGAGAATGCGTGATTCTGTTCTGGTCCAGAAAACAAATTCCCGTCCTGTGAGGACCCTCCTGCTTGTTCTGGTTGCAACGCTGCCTTCTGGCGCATGGCTGGGCTTCCCTGCTGGCCTGCGCATAACCCCCTCAGCCTGCCACACTCGGCCACGTGTCATTCGTGGCTCATAGAAATGAGCATTGACCTACCCACCAAACTAGGCTGTAAGAGACACTGGCCATGCTGGTAGCCCCAGACGCCTATGCCATCTCTCTCCTAGGAAGCTTGGCTGGGCCATGAACCAGAAGCTAGAACCCTTATTTGGCTCACTGGTGAAGGGTGAACCAAAGTCCAAAATTAAAGGTAGTCAGGGTGGCCTGCTCCTGACTACTTTTTCTTGGTCCCACATCTTGACCTTAACCTTGTCACTCTAACTCAAGGAGTAAGTAAGTTGTTGAGGAAATCCAATTAAGGAAGAAGAGAGTTTGCCACCTTCCCTAAAGCCTGGAGTGGTGGAGCCACAGAGCCCACTCGTGTCTCCCTTTCCCTTGGTCCTGCGGAATCATGGGGGCACTGCCCCAGCCGAGGTGAAACCTAACCCCACCACTGCAGGAAGCAGGGAGAGATTGGAAACCACAGGGAACAGTCGAAGAATACCAGAGTAGTTAAGCTATTGAAAGCCTAGAGTGAGTTCTTTGTGTCATTCCCTGACCATGCTTTTTCTGGAGGGTGGGGGCTCCCTAAATACCCTCATCTATGTGCTGACCTGGAGAGCTCACTCTCTGGAGGTCAGGATGTATATGATCAAGACCTGATTCTTCAACACGCTTGGTGTCCACATCTAGCCAAGGGTGTCCTCCCTCAAAGTAGCTTGTAAACTCAACATGTAGTTCAGTGGTGTTGGCCATTTTTCAGCAACATTTTGTACATGCGTTCAAAATTGTGTGTGGCTTATATTTTTAGAATGTCATGATAGCAAGTGTTTAGTATTTTTTCAGAGAAGATTTGATTTTTTTAAACAAGAAATCACTAAGGGGGCACCTTGGTGGCTTGGTTGAGCGTCCGACTCTTGGTTTTGGCTCAGGTCATGATCTCACTATTTGTGGGTTTGAGCCCTGCCTTGGGCTCTGTGCTGAAAGTGTGGAGTCTGCTTGGGATTCTTTCCCTCTCTCTGCCCCTTCCCCGCTCTGTCTCTCAAAAATAAACAAATATTTTAATAAACATTAAAAATCACTCAGAATGTAATTTGTTCAATAAGCCCTGTGTCGAGGTTGTAAATTTGGTCTGAAGATAGTCAGTCTCCATCACAAAGTTGAGAAGGGCTTTGAGTAAAAGCAGTGTTGATTCAGTAAACAGCACTGAGCACTTCAGGCACAATTCTAGGCACAGCAAGGGAATACAGCAAGGCTGGCATTCTGGCTCACCGAGAATAATAAATAACAGATAAGAACAGTCAGTTGCCAAATAAATACAATTTCCAGAAAGAGGTGTCATGAAGGAGATGGGGGAAACAGGTGGGGTGGCGGAGGGGCTGGTAAGGAAGGCCTAACTGGAAGGAGCCATCTGGGCAGGGATGTATATGATATGAAGCACACGGCCGTGTCCCCATGTGTCCCTGGCAGCGAATAAAGCAGTGAATTTTGCTCTAACGTAGGAGAAGCTTAGTGGGTGTCCGGACCTTCAGAGGAGCAGGGGGAAGAGGAGTAGATGAGGGGCAGACAGTGGGAAATAAAACCAGAGAGGTGGGCCCTGGCTATCAGGGTTGCAGGGCAGCAGCTGGGAGTTTTGAGCCTTGCTGGAGTCTGTTTCTTGCTTTCTAGTGTCACTGTTCTGAAGAGTAATATGGATTTTATTTACGTTTATGACTTAAGGCACATGTTAATTAGCCAGTATGTGGGGGGTTGAGAAGAAGGTGGGAACCCTTGGATCTTTGTGGAATATTGGAGTGGGAAGATGCAAGAAACCTTTGATAGTGTTGCCTGGGTGATGAGTTAAGGTACTGCAGGCAGATCAACACAGGAGGAACGCTGACCTGTTAACTTGTTCCTCAGGAACGTTTGAGTTTTTACCACGTGTGTGTATTTTTTAAGAAGCTTATTTATTAATATACCGTGTGTGTGTGTGTGTGTGTGTGTGTAAGATTTGATTTTCACAGATGCAGTGTAGCTATTGTGCTGACAACAATCTGAAAAGCCAAAGCGTTGGTACTCAAGTGCCTTCGACAAGTGAAATGTGTTTCTGTTTTCATAGATAACACTTCCTTTTTCTATCTCAAATTCTGCCTTTTCCTCCTTTCCCCAGGCGACAGAAACGGAGGCCAAAATCAGAGTGTGCATCCGGGCCTACCATCTACTTGTGAAAAAACTGGGCTTTAATCCAAATGACATCATCTTTGACCCTAATATCCTCACCATTGGTACTGGGATGGAAGAACATAACTTGTACGCTGTTAATTTTATCCATGCAACAAAAATCATTAAAGTAAGTATGGATGTTTTCTCTTTTCTACCCACGACATCACTCACATTTACCGCACGGCTCCAGTGAATGGTTTGAGCTACATTTCTTTTTATTGGCTGGGAATGTTGACATTTTACTCTTAGGTAGTAAATTGGTTTTCAGAAATGTAGGGGCCTTTATTATTTTTCATGTAAGTGTTTTACACTGTGGAGTATACATACATACTGGAGAAGATATATAAACAGTACAGAGTGTAAGAAATAAATGTGAAGCACATAGTAGCTTTCACTTAGAGCTTGAAATAGAACAAGCCTAGGGCTCCCATGGTGCTCCCTTTCGGATTATGCTCTCATTCTGAATTTTATGATGTAACCATCATCCTGCACTTTATGATACCACTTTGTTGCTTTTCTTTAGAATTTTATCACTTAAGTACAGTCTGAATGGATTTTGTATTTGCAAATTTACCTACTTGCTAAAATTTATTCATCACCCCAGAGTTAGTACTCATGGTACTTTTGCAGTCATTCGCGGACATCCCCAGGTGCAGAGAGGTGAAAAATTCAAGTGCCGTCCCCAACCCCCAGCATGTTCCCAGACAAGGTCAACAAGGTCACGCTCTGCTGCTTTTTTCAGCTCTCATCCTGCAAACAAGTATCCGTTTCATGGTCCATATTTAAGTGCCATGTTTTTCACATTTTTGAGCATTTTCTTGGTCATTCATTTCCCTGTTTCAAAGGCTTCCAAGTACAGTGCCACAGTGCCGTCTAATGTTCCTGAGTGTGGGAAGGCTGTGACGTGCCTTACAGAGAAAATACTCGAATTAGCTAAGCTTTGTTTAGATGTGAGTTGTAGTGCTGTTGGCCGTGAGCTGATCTGTGGCGTACGCTAAATAAGATGTCTTTACCCAGAAAGACAGAAAGCAAGTTTATATATTGACGAGTAGATGACAGTTGTGTGACCAGAGGCTCACGGGAATAGAACTCTACTTTTCCCTAGGGGCAGTGGCTCCCGTATTCCCCGATTCATTGTTCACAGCACCTTTATGGAGCAAAACTACTGCAAATAATTGACTGTATACACAGTGCTTCGCCTACTTTTGAGCTTAATATAAATAGGATCTTCGGGTCTCTGGGTGGCTCAATCAGTTAAGCGTCCGACTCTTGATTTCAGCTCAGGTCATGATCTCCTAGTTTGTGGGACGGAGCCTCACATCAGGCTCTGTGCTGACAGCAAGGAGCCTGCTTGGGATTTTCTCTTTTCCTCTCTTTTTCTCCTGCTCGTGCACATGCTATCTCTCAAAAAATAAATAAACTTTAAGTAGAGTCTTAAGATTTTTATGCCTCTGTTACCCAAACTTACTTAAAAGATTCATCTATGTTGTTGTAGTTATACTTTGTTCATTTTTAGTAACGTGTAATACCTTATCGTGTAACTGCTCCATAAGCAACTGTTCACTGTTGATAGACATTTGGCTTGTTTCCAGTTTTGGGACCACATAAGGGCTGCCGTGAACATTCTTATATGTGTAACTTGGGCGCATGTGCATGGGTTTCTTTAGCACATACACCCACAAGTGGGGTGGCTGGGTCACAGCAGTAGATAAGGCAAGCAGTCTCCCTAAGTGCTTGAGCTGGTCTGTACTTTGACTCAACATAGGTAGGAGTTCCTGTTGTTCCACATGCGTGCGCCTGCTCGATACTGTCACTGGGTATGCTGGGAACCTCAGTTTCACTTTATCCTGTTATAGTGAGCCAAGTTTATGGTGAACTAGGGAGTTGGTTCATTTAGGCTACAGAAGCCTTCATGCGAATGACAGACTACTCTCTGTCTCTCTCTGTGTTTTATGTCTCTGTTTCTTTCTTTTCTCTGTTATTTTTTTTGGCAAGTATTTTCTGGCACACTCTCTATGTACTGTGGCCCCATCAGGCTCCCTGCAGAGGTGAAGCAGATAAAGCAGAATCCTTTACTTTCCTTTAGGGGATTAGAGTGTAGTAGGAAAGATGGTCTATGAAACAGAGCTTCTTCAGTGTCATGGTAGGGTAAGGTTTAGTCTATGTCTAGCTCCAAGCAGCCCTGAATTACTTTCAACTTCATACGTGTTTTACTTTCTGCTCTTATATACATACAGCTTAAGGGATGTGATTGCTACTTTTGGCAAAATAGGGAAATCTTTTCACATTTTAAACTTTTTGCTAGGAAAAATTACCTGGAGCCAGAGTAAGTGGAGGTCTTTCCAACCTGTCCTTCTCCTTCCGTGGAATGGAAGCCATTCGAGAGGCCATGCATGGGGTGTTCCTTTACCATGCAATCAAGGTACAGTACAGCACCCGTTTGCACTTGGAACCAGCTTTTACTCAGAGCAGGGATTTGCAGATGGGGGGACGGACTGCCAGCTCCTGGGAATAACGTTTTATCCGTGCTTTAGACATCGTTTGTGGCTGCTTTCATGGTACAGTTGCAGAACTGAGCAGTCGTGACAGAGACCGTGACCTAAAATATTTTCTATAGAAAACGTTTGCTGACCTCTGACTTAGAGTATCCTTGGAAATCCTCATTTTTTTTTTCTTTGTATTGCCCTTAGTTTGGTATGGACATGGGGATAGTGAATGCTGGAAGCCTCCCCGTCTATGATGACATCCATAAGGAACTTCTCCAGCTCTGTGAAGATCTCATCTGGAATAAAGACCCTGAGGCCACTGAGAAGCTCTTACGCTATGCACAGGTAGAGAGAAAAGTGTTCTGACGGATGGCTTTTCCTGCCTTTGAACTTGTCACTGACAGTTATTAGACCTTCATCATAGAATAGAAGCAAGTATCCAGTCCTGGTTCTGGGTCACTGAATTTCTACAGAGAGTTCCAGAGAAGGTGTTTTAGTGAAGGGTTAGGAAATAGTAGAAGGCCATACGTAGGCTGCCTCAGTGTTCTGAATTTAGGCTTTTTTACATTCATTTTAAAATGTAAAATTCGGGATGTCTGGATGGCTCAGTCAGTTGAGCGTCCAGCTCTTTCTGCTCAGGTCATGATCCCAGGGTCGTGGGATCGAGCCCTGTGTCAGGCTCTGCACTCAGTGTGGATTGTGCTTGAGATTCTCTCTCTTTCTTTTTCTCTCCCTCTTCCCCTCTGTCTCTCTTCCCCATTCGTGCTCTCTCAAAAAAATATTTTTAAAATTTTTTTTAAAAATTAAAAAAAGACATATTTGTAAAAAAAAAAAAAAAAAAACCTATGAGGTAAAGTTAATTTTTTCTCATACTGGAGTAACATATGTTAATTCCAGAAAACTTAAAAAATACAGATAAACAAAAGAAAATAAAAATCACTCAGAATCCTACATCCGAAGTTAACCACTGTTGACGTTTTGTTATAACCTTCTAGTCATGGTTTTGGGATTATTTTCAAAATGATTATGAACTCACTGATGTGTACACACACTCACTCACTCATACACATTTTTACCAAAACAGTCCTCTCTTCTAGGTGCTTTTTGGTAACCTGTTTGTTCAGCAGTGTAGTGGGAACATATTTCCATTTTAGGAGATGTTTTTCTTCCTCATAATTTAAATTAGCTATTTTGGATTTTCTTGTGCGGCTGTGTTATTGCTGGGTTCCTGTTGTGCCGTGTTTACATCTGGGTGCCTGTTGATACTAGGGTCCGGTCCATCTGTGGCAGGGTCTTGCACTTCAGGGCTTGCGGTCCCTTCCCCTCTGGTATATAGGCATGAGAATAATGATAGTGAATCTGAAAATCGGTTTCTGTTTCCCCTTACTATGTGTCGGGCAGTCCTGGGTACGTTAGGCATGTGTCTTGGGTGTCACTTCCTACAATTCTGTCTGTCTAAGGAAGATGAGATCTTTACCTCAAAAAAACTTTCATTTATTTCCGAAAGTGAAGGCAAAGGAGGAGGTTGTTTTCACAAAGCGTGTTAGGAAGGTAGTAGAATCCTCTCGTGCATGTTGTCTCCCTCGTTAATGTTTTTCACGTTGAAGTCTGATTTAACTCTGGCAGAGATGCTCACTTTTCCTCTTGTATTGGAGAGTGAGGACTAAAGAGCTCCGGAGGAAGGCTAGGAAGGTTCAGGATTCACTGCCTCCTTGACTGATCAGCTTTACAGGTGACAAGATTTAAGTTTCTGAAATTGCCTTAGGCTCAGCAGAGCTGAAGGGGTTCAGACTCTGTGCCAGTGAACACATGCTCCTCCTCCCCGTTCCTTAAAAACAGTTCTGATTTCTCTCGTGGTCCGAGGACAGGCTGTCTCTGGCCTTGATTATTGCAAATATAATCAAGTCCTGCTTCTCAGCTCATTGCATAACAAATTGTCTCTAGATCCCCCCCACTCCCAGGACTGTTTCTGCTTATCTAGACAGAGTGCTTAGCCCTTTAACAGTCTTCAGACATCAAGACCTGAGTGTGGAACACTATCCAGTTTTCTTCTTAGCCTGTCTCCCACCGACTGGGAGGACCCGCCATTAGTAACTTGGGGTTCCGGTGAAGCCAAAAGGGCATCTGAGCTTCTATAACCATGACGTTATACCAGAGTGTTCTTAACCCACACAGTGATGTGCTGTTTCGGTTTTTCCTCCACTGCCCAGATGAGCCAGCCCTTTCACATAGGAAAGGTGGGACTCCTTATTTGTAAGACTGTCCTCAGTTAAGATTTTGTTGACTTTGTAGTTGATGTCAGTCATACTTTTCTGTGTTTTAGTGTTTGCTTACAAGGTTTTGTTTCTGTGTATCGTGCTGAGCTGTGAAGAGGTTTTGCCCCTGAGGCACAGCCAAACTGAGGGAGCTCTTAATAGCAATTGCAAGAGCTTAACAATCCATCATATTAGAAATTTCCTCCCTCTTAATGTAGCCACAAGGACTTATTACAAGCCATTGACCCCTCTGTCAAGTAGGCTGTCTACCTTCAAGGTGACTTCTGTTACCATTAAGGGAATTAATAACCAAAACAGGTATTCTTTAATAAGTCCCAGGGGTTGCCAGCTCTGTAGCGATTTCTCAGGATGTACAAGTGCAAATGGAGCATGAGAAGCCGTGATATTAAGAGGCAAGTAAAGGTGGAAGATTTTTTTTCTTTTTAAGAGAAAGATCATCTCTTTTCATTATTAAATGATGCAGTCTGCACCCAAGTCCTGTGTGATACATTGTTGAACAGGTGGAAAGCGTCTTCTCTCTGATCTTGCTAAACTCTCCAATCCCACTTTGAGGGGGTTGATGGGTTTATTGAAAAATAATCCTTTTAATTGGGTGCAGACTGACCTGGGATGAGTAAATTATTTTTGGTAATGAAAATTCTAGATATCATGCTATCATATGATCTTTGCAGAGTTTCCTTACCAAGCAGTACCCTAATAGAGGTCATGGCCCCTTTGGACTGGAAGGGATCTCTGTTCTGAACACAGTCGTTCCGGAATGACCTTGGATTGTGAGACTATCATTGATACTTTTCTGGGGAAAAAAGTTATTTCAGCCTTCATCTAGCCTTCATCTTCCTCATTGCCATTGGAGGTGGCCTCCGTTTTGTCTTCCCCTTGAGCGGTTTACTCCCCTTGATTCTAGAAATGAGGCACTGATCACTACAGGGACCCTGTGATTCAGAAGCTCCTCTAGAATGCCAGAGGAGCAGCCAGATGGACATGACAGCTGACTGGTCACTCTGCTTGGTAGTTTTGTGTGTGCCGAACTTCCACAGCACGTCTGGTGTGCGTCCCACCTGTGAGGCATTCTGTGTTTCCATCGTGGTGAGTGTCCTGTTGAGTAACTAGTTGGAAAGCAAGGTGAACATCACACGTCATGTCATGCTTCTGAAATAGCCGCTCTTCATTGGTACCTCTCGCCTGAAGCACTGATTTGCTGCAGCACGTCCGTCAGGTCGGTAGTTTCCATTCCCTGCAGCCCTCACACTTTGGTGAAATCTTCATTGACCTTCACCGTGTCCTCACTGGCCGCTGTTCGTAATCACGTTCTCTATGGACCCCTCCCCACCACGTAAGCGCTGCACACTGTGGTGTTTCTGTGCACCTACCAGGTCCTTTCTCCCAGAGTGTTTGGTGCACTGCCCTGTTTTCACTCCCCCAAGTCCACCCCACTGGCAGGAATTGTCTCAGAGCAAATGGTGTGTTACATGCATCATGTGGCGTCAATGTGTGCTTTAGAAGGGCCTTTTCTTTTCTCTTTTTGTATCTTTCTGCAGTGCCACACTGCTCTGGTTTTGTGGGTTTTGCCTTCCTTATGGCGGGACGGTATGGCTTCGTATGTCTCTGCCACGTTTTCTGTGTGTGTCCATCCACCCGTGGACATTTAGGCTGCTTCCGTGTCTCAGCTCCCGTGACTCAGGCTGCACACTGTTCTTTTTAAGTCACCATCTTTAGTTTCTCCAGTAGGTGAGGAAACCCTTGTGCCATCGTCACTGCAGTGACACCCCAGCCCTGCAGTTCTGGGGTTCTCCCAGGTCCTTCCCCTCTGCTTACACGTGGTCCATCGCCTAGCGTCCTCATGTTTGTCTCTTTCCTTCCTGTTACCAGCACTAGTCCAGGCCTTTACCTGCACTGTTAAACCTCCTCCCCCTTCTGGGCTTCTCTTAAAAATACTGCTTCCTTACTCTGCAGCTTCAGAACTTTGAATTTTGTCCTGCACCGCCACCCCATGCCCCCACCCCACAGTTGCCTGTAAGGTTAAATCTAGGCTCCATTGCATGGATTTCTGGTGCTCTGTGACTTGGCCTCTACTTTCCTGCATAAGCATTGCTACAGAAAATCTGGTTTTGCTCAGTGTTAAACCACTCAGCCAATATTTACCGAACTCTTATTCTGTGCTGTGTACTTCACTCAGCATGGAGGACCTAACTAGTAAAAGAGCTGTGCTCTGCTGAGACACAGAGAAAGGCACAGCATGGTTGTAATCCTGCAAGGTGAGTGCGGGGTGCTGTGAGAATGCATGGTGGTGACACTGAACCCGAAGGTGTTCCCAGAGCCAGGGTCAGAGGAGGCCTGGAAGCAAGAGAGGAGTTAGCTGGGCGAGGATTTGGTGTTGGCGTGCAGTGCTGGTGGTCCCAGCGGGGCTGGCCCAGACCTGTAAGAGGTGCTGAGTGAATGCGTGATGGATGAATGACTGTGAAGGCTCAGGGGCGAGAGAGATGAGGGGAGTGTGAGGAGCTGCAGTGCTTGGGCTCACTGGGCACGTACAGGGTGCAGCCACGGGAGAAAGCGGGACGGGCGCATTGCATGGCCCATAGCAGGGCCTTGGAAACAGGGCCTTGGCCTAGAAAAGGAATACATCCCAGGAGGAATAGGACACTTGCAGTGAATTTTTTCATGTCAGAGTGGTTTGTGATTTGTATTTGGGACAGGCCCCTCTGTTTCCAGTGCCAAAGTTGCACTGGGGACGGGTTGACTGTGGGCTGCAGAGACCAGCTCGGACTGTGGACGTGTGGAAGTGCGGCAGGGAGAAATTTTGAGGGCTTGGTGAGTGACCTAAAGAGAGGAAGGGATGAATATTCAAGAATGATACTTAGATTTTTGGTTTGGGTAACTGATGCCACCAGGTGAGATGGCGAAAACAGATAAGGCCGTGCAGTTCACCTTTTGGACCATGGTTATTGCACTTTTCGTCCCTTTGCTGAATCTGCTCATTTCTTTGAAGTGTCTCTCCCTGGGGTTTGTGGTGACAACTCACTCCTCAAAGCTCTGGGTCTCGTTTGTGGCACATAGTTGTCTGGATCATCTTCTCACTTGGCCCCTGGCACGTGCTTGCTCTGGTGACTCCCCCTCTGCCCCCTTAGGATGTAGCGAGGTCCTGAGAGCGTGTGCCGTGTCTTGCACCCCTTGGATGTTCCTGCGTCCGGGATGCTGTCAGACTCGGCACATCATGGCCTCTGCACGTATTTGTGGGTAGTGATGCTCCTTGTGGAGGCCTTTGGAGGCCCAATACATGTGGGAACAGCTTTTCTTTCTGCCTGGCTATCCTTTGTTTGAACTTGCCATCTTTTAGGAAACAAAGAATGGAGCCTTACTTTGTCCTTCTAACACAAGCTGAAATCCTAAAACACCTCTCCTTGTCTCCGTCCTTCCCTCAAACGTTAAATGAGATCTTAATTCATGCTGGACACTCAGCTAGGCGCCAGCAGTGTAAAAGAAGAATAAGGCATAGTTTTTTTGCTGCTACCGAACACTGAGGGCCTGTCGTAACCACTCTCTGTCCTAATTTCAACTCAGACTCATGGCAAAGGAGGGAAGAAAGTTATCCAGACTGACGAGTGGAGGAATGGCCCCATTGAAGAGCGCCTCGAGTATGCCCTTGTGAAGGTGAGCTGTGGGAGCACCGGGTGAGTGTGAACAGGCGGGCTGGTGGCACCTTGTGGTGGTTGTTGGCGGGGAGATTCTAAGGACCACCTTCCCTCCCCTTTAGCACACTTGGCAGTGTCTAGAGATAGTTTTGGTTGTCACAGTAGGGGGTGAGGTGTTACTGGCATCCAGTGGCCAGAGATGCTGTAAACCTCCTCTAGTGCACAGGACGGGCCCACATGACAGAGAACTATTCAGCCCAAAATGTCCGTAGTGCCAAGGTCAAGAAAAGCTGTTCTAGGCCAAGTTGCTGTCATTTGATCAACAAGAAAGTCCTGGATCTTCTGCTGATAATTTGAATTTCAGACAACTTAGTCTTGGCTTCAGTGTCCTCATTTGTGAGTCTGGAGAACTTTCGAGTTCTCTTTTTGGCTCTCGAATTTAACTTTCAACTTTTTGAAACTTTTGAGGTTCATATGTTTCAGGTTGTGGAATCACTGAGCCACATCCAGGGGACCTTGAACTGGGGACACCTAGGATGAAGGCTTCATCAGTGAGGGCTGGATGAGTCAGGAGAGGCTTCACAAGTTTGAACTTCGCCTCAGGGTCCTGCCCATTGTCATTCCTCCCCAGCCCAGAGCTTTGCCGTGACAGAACACGCAGATTCCACAGGAGATCTTTAGTAATGTGTAATCTGCTAAACCACCAGGATACACAGTGTATTTTATGATGAATTTGGACTTTACTTACTAGTATTCCTTCTTTCACTGGTAACTCACCATTGCATACTTCCATGGAGCGCTTACCTTGTATCAATAAAGCCAGCTGAGCACTAGGTTATTTCATTTAATCCTTAAAAATAACCACACGAGGCAGGTACTCTGTGACCATTTAGGAAACTGAGCCTTGATAAATTGCTTAGATTGGTGATAGGAGCCAGGATTTGAACCTACGCAATCTGATTCCAAAACCTGTACTCATAAGCTTTTCCGTGATTCATTCTTTATTGGCTGTTTGGCCTTAGGTAGGTTTTTAATGTGATTTTTATCCTTTTTTTTTTTTTTTTTTAATAGGGTATTGAAAAACATATTATTGAGGATACTGAAGAAGCCAGGTTAAACCAGGAAAAATATCCCCGGCCTCTGAATATAATTGAAGGACCTCTCATGAACGGCATGAAAGTTGTCGGTGACCTTTTTGGAGCTGGAAAAATGTTTCTACCTCAGGTTGGCAAAAGATGGGAGTAGTTTTCACAATTGAAAGAAAAAGACTTTGTCCTTTAGTAAATAAATAGCAAGTTTCGGTAGATTTCTCAAGTTCAAATTTTGACAAGAGCTCGTGGCACTGAGATCTGGTCATTCTTTCTGTAAATATACTTCCGAGTAATGTCCGGAAGGTCCATCTTTGGGGTGATGTGCAGGTTGGAGGTCATCTGGAAATTCTTAGCTTTCTGACAGGGAGGGATGCCACATCTTACCCCCAACACCTATCTGCTCTTCCCCAAAGTGAAAACAAAACCCCAGCTTCACGTAAAGTTAATAGTATTAGCATTTGATTTGACCAGCCAGTGTTCATCTTTAAGGATGCTTTTAGAATAGAGATAAGTGTTAAATTTTACGTTTTGAGAAAACCAGAACTCTTATTTTGATTTACAGGAGCTACTAACGTTATCAGTCAGCAAATATATGTGGGGCCATCAGGGTTGGGGCTGCGAGCCATACAGAACAAGGCCCTGTTTTTGTTTTGTTAATTACTCTTTCTGTATTTAACTGAATGCCCACTTTCTTTCATAACATTCACCCTTTTTCTAACAGCTTTTTTGTTGTATAATTAACATACAATGAAGTGCATGTTTGTAGAGGATACTATGTGGAAATGTTAACATGTGCACCAGCGAAACTACCATCCCTGGAGATGAGGAACGATTTGTTGTCCTATCTTCATCTCCTCCAGCCTGTGACAGCTCCTCAGTCTTTGTTTCTCTTGATGTTGACTTTTAACTTTGCATTTTGGAGATGACGTTAGACATGTAGACAAACTGCAAATGTAGTTTGAAAAACGCCTTGTATATCCCTTCCCCAGCTTCCTCCCCAAATGTTAACATTTTTCCTTGACTTTAGTGCAGTTAACATTGGTGTTATGCCATTAAATAAAGACCTTACTCAGATTTAACCAGGTTTTTTAAAATGTTTATTTATTTTTGAGAGAGAGAGAGGCAGAGCACAGATGGGAGCAGGGCAGAGAGAGAAGGAGACACAGAATCTGAAGCAGGCTCCAGGCTCTGAGCTGTCAGCATAGAGCCCGACCTGGGGCCCAAACTCATGAACTGCGAGATCGTGATCTAAGCTGAAGTCAGATGCTTAACCGAGCCACCCAGGCACCCCAGGTGTCACCAGTTTTCCCACTATTGTTTTCTTTTTATTCCAGAATCCCACATTGCTTTTATCCTGGCCTCTCTAACAGCTCCTCAGTCTTCCTTTGTGACCTTGACTTTTGAAGAGTGTAGCTCAGTTTTTTTTGTAGACTGCCCCTCAGTGTGGGTTTGTCTCATGTTTGCTCATTTTTGGCAAGCATAAGAGTGATGCTGTGCCCTTCTCAGCGGCTCATATCAGGAGGCCAGGAATGTTGCTATGTCTCATGACTGGTTATATTAACTTTGATCATTTGGCTAATGGTGTCTGCTGGGTTTCTGCACTGAGAATTTACTTGGAGACCCTGCATGGTATTCCCACCCTTGAATTTTAGCATATGTTGATGAATTTTGTAAAAGGCCCCTTTCTTCGTTAAGCATAAGCCTTTAATTATAAGTAAATTGTAGTGCTGGGGATCGAGGTGAGAAGGCTGAGAAGGGGCTCTGGTGGAAATGGGTGCACAGAACTTGGAGAAGCGATGGGCAGCCTTCTAGGCTAAGAAACAGCAGTGTGCAGAGGTTCGGCTCCTAGCCTTGTTTTCCTTCTGTGCCTCATTCATTGTCTTTCCCCACAGGGAACTCATTCCTGATCCTGTCTTCTGTCAAAAGCAGACTCCAGTGTGGCTGACCCGAGGCCAGAGCTTGTGTTCTTAGTTTATGCTAAGATTTCATGAGGGGCTTTTAGCAACCATTCAGGTGCTTTGGTAAATGATGCTGGACTCTGTGTATTTTTCCTAGGTTATAAAGTCAGCTCGAGTCATGAAGAAGGCTGTTGGCCACCTTATTCCTTTCATGGAAAAAGAAAGAGAAGAAAATAAAATGCATGCTGGCACAGAAGAGGAAGAGGCAAGTCATTTTGTCCAGGCCGGTGGGCCCCGTGAGGAATTGGTCTCAAAGACTGTTACTGGGGTGGGGCAGGGACCATGGGGGTTGGCTGTGCCTGTCATTGACGATAAAATAGAGCAGTGATCTTTTACCGAGTATACCCTGGGATTTTCCTCTAAATGTGGCTTTATGAATTTTTAATATGAACGTAGGTTTTCAAATAGAGCCCATGATTTCAAAACAAAACCAGTTTGTTCATCTATTGACCATTTTCAAAGTTCCTACTATGTGCCAGGTACTGTGCTAGACACTGTAGCTAGGGAGATGGATCCCTCCCCTGAGGTGACTGAGTAATGTTTGGCTTTGGAGAACCTCTTGACTGAGTTTTCTCTGTACACTGGTAACGTCCTTGGCTCTGCTTGTGGGTCCAATTTAATTCTTTTTTTTTTAATTTTTTAAAAATTTATTTCTGAGAGAGAGAGAGAGAGAGCAGGGGAGGGTCAGAGGGAGAGACACAGAATCTGAAACAGTCTCTAGGCTCTGAGCTAGCTGTCAGCGCAGAGCCCGATGCGAGGCTCGAACCCATGAACCATGAGATCATGACTTAAGCCAAAGTCGGACACTCAGCTGACTGAGCCACCCAGGTGCCCCTGATCCAATTTAATTCTTGTTGGCTGTCCCACCAGAGTAAATCATTAAGCTTTGACCTTGTTTAGCTCCCCAAGAAGCTCAACCAGCTTTGCCCTGGGATTCTGAATCCTTAAATTCTTGTGAGTTTCTGAATGGCTCTGCCAGACCTCCCACTTGCCTTGGGTGCCTTTTTCTTTTCTTTTTTTTTTTTTTAAATTTTTTAATTTATTTCTGAGAGAGAGACAGTGTGAGCAGGGGAGGGTCAGAGAGAGAGGGAGATACAGAATCTGAAACAGGCTCCAGGCTCTGAGCCAGCTGTCAGCACAGAGCCCGACGTGGGGCTCGAACCCACGAACCGCGAGATCAGGACCTGAGCCAAAGTCGGACACTCAACCGACTGAGCCACCCAGGCGCCCCTCTTTTTTAAAATTAACTAATTAACTGAGGGAGAGGTTGCTGGCCGGGCATAGGACGATGGTACTGAAGAAACCAAAGATAATTAAATGGCCTGTGCCAGGCTGTTGAGATGGTGGTTCAGATTCTGATAGGCTGTTTGAGGTCCACCAGCTGCTCCCTCTGTTCCCTCGCACCCCTTCCTGCTCACAATAAATATTTCTCTGTGTTTTTGCAGTTAAAGATCCGTTTTTCAGCTACTGGGATGTGTTATATTCGAACTTAAAACTGTTCTTTGAGGTGATGGGACCTGTGCTTGAAGCTCCCTTTGCTCCCCCGCTAGGCAGGCCGCCTTTGAACTGCTCGAGGGCACAGCTTTGTACATGCAGAGCACGTGGTGTGGGTTCTGGGTCTGTCTCTGAGGCAGTCTCGACCCCTGTCTGGCTCCAGAGACTTAAGTTGCTCTGTGCTGAGTGGCTACACCGGTGCTCAGCTGCTTGTCTTGCTCCCTAGGACCCCTACCAGGGCACCATCGTGTTGGCCACCGTGAAGGGGGACGTGCACGACATAGGCAAGAACATAGTTGGCGTCGTCCTTGGCTGCAACAATTTCAGGTGAGTTAAGACCCACCTCTCTCATCCCCTTTCCAATTTAAAAATAAAAGCATTTGCAGCAATGATTCTGTATGGGTTGGGAGGGGCCATGGGTGTTGGAGGTTATTTTTAATTTCTGTTTCTGACTCTGTTTTCCCACTTTCTACATTGAACACACCTTTTCAAATGAAATCATCAGTAAGTCTGTCACCTGTTAATCTGGTTGATAAGGACAAAGGGAACAGTGAAAACTATTCAGGCAGGGTCAGAACAAACAAGAGGCTTCTTGAGAATTGACCTTGGGCTAGCGGCTTTAATTATTGGAACACTGGGTTCCTGCCCGTAGTCAGCGGCCTGGAGCACATTCTCTTTTTCTTCTTTTTCTTCTCAGTAAACTGATGGCAGTCTTACAGCTGAGATCTTATACGACTTTGGCTGAATGGGCTTTTATAAGAAGGCTGTGACTGTACAATTCTCTCCTTCCTCTGCTTAGAACAGGACTCTGCATGCCTCTCGGAAATGATGCAGCTAGATTTTGGAATGTTGTACAGAAGTAAAGTCTCTTGCTGATGTAGCTTTTTATAGTGGATAAATATTCAGCACTAAATTACTTCCATGTGAAAGCTGATGACCTATAGTAAGTGTATGTTTTGCTCAGATTTCAACATATTCTTTACGATCCAAAGCCTAATATAACTAATGCCTTCTCTGGTCCATGTCCAGCCAACAGTCGCTTTGAGTCACGGACTGCCTTCCAACATACTCTTTGCTCTGTGAAGAGTAGAGCCAGGCCTGTGGCACAGCTGTGGTCCCTCACGGGTCTCTCCAGCTGTCCAGTTAACCCTAACAGCCCATCCCTCCTGTCTACTTAGTTAACCACCTCTGCACTCGAGGCCAACTTAATGCAACCAAGAAGCTCTCAGGAAGCTGGAAACAGAGGAACGGTGTCAGGATGGCACTTCTGCCTCTGTCTTCACATGCACTTCTGTTTTCTGCCAACTCACTGTCAAAACACTTAGCCCTCTCTCCCAGTCCTGCAGATGAGGAATTTTGTTCTTGGGATGTATTTATTCTTTTTTAAATGGTAAATACATTGGAGGTTGTTGTCATGAGATTTCAGCTATAGAATAAGTATTTGGACAAGGGGTTTGCTTCCTGAAATCTACATCTCTGGTCCTGTCTCACCTTTTCAAACCTGACTTTTGTTTCTATTTGCATTCATCACAATTAGTCAGAATTGAATTTATTTATTTATTTATTTTTAAACATTTTTTTTTTAATTTTTTTTTTTAACATTTTTTATTTATTTCTAGGAGAGAGAGAGAGAGACAGCGTGAGCAGGGGAGGGTCAGAGAGAGAGGGAGTCACAGACTGAAACAGGCTCCAGGCTCTGAGCTGGCAGTCAGCACAGAGCCCGACGCGGGGCTTGAACCCACGAACCGTGAGATCATGACCCAAGCGAAAGTCGGACGCTTAACCGACTAAGCCACCCAGGNGCTCCAGGCTCTGAGCTGGCAGTCAGCACAGAGCCCGACGCGGGGCTTGAACCCACGAACCGTGAGATCATGACCCAAGCGAAAGTCGGACGCTTAACCGACTAAGCCACCCAGGCGCCCCGGTCAGAATTGAATTTAGCTTATAAATGTTTATAGATCGTCTGCTACACACCACACATTATACTAGAGATACCAAGATGATTTAGTCGACTTTTCTTAAGAAACTCAAGAAAGTTACTGTTTATGAGGCTAATAGCCAGGTACCTATACAAATGTAATCATGGTCCAGAAACTTGAAAAATAGCAGCTTGTAGTAGTTCTTGAGATATTATTGTCATGAGTTTATAATTTTTTATTTTCAGAAAGTGGATAAGTAGCTAAGAGAATCACACTAGGAATGTTTTCCCTTCCAGTTAAAGATGCTTTAAGAGGCGGGGGTGGGGTGGCGGGGGGGACTGTGGCATTTCTCCAGGGTGCTACTCCAGCTGAGTGTCAGCACCTGTGAAAGCCTGCTTATCAAACTCGAGCTTTCCTCCAGCACATCCAGGTCCTCTGCCCTGTGCATTGAAGGTCTGCTCCCCTTTGCTCATAAGTCTAACTGGAGAAACATCTTCTGCTGAAACTGTAATTACTCCTTTTACAAAAACATAAGTGAGTATGCAAACCTTTTCTATTACGACAGACACCCTTCTGGGTCTTGTGCCTCTTAACATGTGGCCCCCTGGTCAGTTTAGTGTTATGTATTATCTAGTAGGCAGGTGCCCCCCGCCACCCCCACTTCTACCTTATGTAGTTAAATGTATACTTTGGCTGAGCCTCTGGATTCTAGACTGGATCTGGGCTGAACCACCCCGCTGGTGAGTGAGTTTAGCAAACTGTCCAGTCTCAAATCCTGAGGCAGCTTTCTAGCTCCTGGCTCTTTGTCATTGATGCAGAAAATCTCACACGGTGGTAAGGATATTTTTCTTTTTGAAGAAAAAAGAAGTCAGGAGGACTAAAGGTGATTGTTCTGTCCTGACAAAGAACATTTTTATGGGGATGATGCATTAGATTCTGTGATCTAGTAGAACATATAAATTTAAGAATTTGAATAGACCTAAGAGATAGATCCACTACAAGACTACTAATACCTAACATTTGTTTACCACTTCACAAATGAGCTAGTGCTTTTATATCACTGATTTTTCTGTTTTCTGTCTTTTCCTGATGTTTTTCTTTTTCTTTCTTTTCTTTTATCCTTCCTTCTTAGGGTTTTGATCCTGCTTTGCCTGCTTCATTTACTGTCTTTCACATTTTACAGCTGAGGAAACTGAGGCTTAGAGAAGTTAAGGGGTTTCTTCATGGTCACAGAATTAGCAAAATCAGCAAGTGGCAAGCCATATACTCGGCTTCTGATTCCAAAAGTCTCAAGACTCTGTGTGCTGTCATTTTATCTTCCACCATTGAGTATAAAGTTAAACAACTTTAACTGTAATATTTAATATTAATATTCTAGTTAAGTTCCTCTTAAGTAATTTAAAATATTGAAAAATGTTTTTTGATCAGATATTACATGAAAATGGATTTTAGATATGCTCCTTAATAATTATTATATAAAAAGAAAGTGTGGGAGCATCAGGGTGGCTCATCCAGTTGAGAGTCTGACTCTTGATTTCAGCTCAGGTCATGATCTCATCGTTCGTGGGTTCAAGCCCTGCATTGGGCTCTGCACTGACAGCATGGAGCCTGCTTGGGATTCTGTCTCTCCCTCTCTCACTGCCCCTCTCCTGCTTGTGCGCTCTCTTTCAAAATAAACATTAAAAAAAATGCACACTGGTAATGCACAGGTATATGCACACTGTAAACACAGGTAATGCACACTGTTTAATTGTGTGAGAAAAAGGATATGTCAGTAGAAAATTTAAAATTAGGTTTAATTTAAAATTATATTGGGGTGCCTGAGTGGCTCAGTTGGTTAAGTGTCCAACTTTGGCTCAGGTTATGATATCGTGGTTCGTGAGTCTGAACCGCATGTTGGGCTCTGTGCTGACAAGCTAAGAACCTGGAGCCTGCTTTGGATACTGTGGCCCCCCCTCTCTCTGTCCCTCCCCTGATCGTGCTCTATCTCAGTCTGTCTCTCAAAAATAAATAAATGTTAAAAAATTTAAAAAAATAAAATTAGATATCTTATATCTAGTATTTTAAAAATATGGATCTGGTGAAACAGATAATAATAACAGAGGCCTATTTATATTTAACCAGTGGTTGCTAATCTAACTGTCTAATATGAGTAAAAATTAAGCAATAAACAGATGGCTGTAAATGAAATAGTTTCAAACTGAATAATGTCATAGTGTTCAGTTGGGTGAAAAAGAAGACTGTATCTAAGTCAAGGGCAAACTAGTCCAGTCTGTCCTATGCACCACACATACTCACCTGATAATTATTCAAAGACTTTCAACCATATATATATGGGGGAGGGGTATTATATAGTTTTCCTGGCTTATTGAGGTGTAATTGACCTATAATATTGTATCAGTTTAAGGTGTACAATGTATTGATTTGGTACACTTGCATATTGCACTATGATTACCACCATAGTGTTAGCCAACACCACCTTCGCTTCATATAGTTATCATTTCTTTTTTATTGTGGTGAGAACATTTTCTCCACATCCTGGCCAATGCTTGTTACCCCTCGGCTTTCTGAGAACAGCCATTCTAACAGGTGTGAGGTAATAATCTCATTATGGGTTCGATTGGCATTTTCCTGAAGATGAGTGATACTGAGCATCTTCTGATAAACATTGTTGGTCCTTCAGATGTCTCCTTTGGAAAAATACCTATTCAGTTCCTCTTCCCAACTTGTTATATTTGAAAGGAGGACTTTCCAGAATTTATTTTTTTTAATTTTTTAAAAAGGAGAAATGGAAACAGATTCTGTCAGCACCACTTAACCACAAATCAGACTTTGGTGGGGGACTGCAGTGTGGTTGGGTACTTCCATCTGGTGGTAGCATGTGTGAATTGCAGGATCAGAGATAAATGCCATCTCTGTTCACTTCCCTACACGAGACCCCAAATATGATGCACTATGAATGGGTGCAGGTGCAAGGCTTTGATTTTCCTTTTTAATTTTTCTAGAGAATATCTAGAATACTTCTAGAAAGTAAAATGGACTTTATTATAGTATTGTATGTATTCTCATGTAGTATTGGATACCTTTGCTAAAGCATCGAGTGCAGCTTTTATTTCTGAATTAAAAGCTCAAATTAAATGCTTGCATTTAAAGCTCTGTTGTAAACACTTTAGAAAGATGATTTTTAAAATCGTTTTCCCATAACATAGATTTTTAAATTCTCTTTAGTCTATCCTGTGGCATAATATAAGAATGTGGATCGGAAGAGGCCTGAGGACATGGAGTACATGGCTCCAAGTGAAGAAACCAGGGGAAAATAAAGGGAAATGGAGATTTAGGTGGGGGAAACAGGAAGTTGCAGTAAAGAGGAAGGACAGTGGAAAGGGATGATGGGAAGAATGGCGGCAGCCATAGAAGGCCCCCTTCCCTGTTCCACCCCCGCTACCACCCAGGCTTCAGGTCCTTTGCTTCAGCTAAAGTTCCCCAGGGCTGGGTGGTTCATCATTCTGGACCTTTAGTGCCAATATCTGTGTGGACTACAGTCTTTTTTCCTTCATCCAGCTAATACCTACTTTTTTCAAATTCAGCCTAGGTATCTCCCTCTAGGGATGCTTCTAACATTGGTTTAGATGGCTTCCCTCAACATGCCACAAATGTCACACTGTATTCAAATTCCAAACCTGCCAATACTTTCTCAGCTCAGGTGTGTGTGGAATCCCTTTTCCCTTGAGGGTGGGGGTGGGAGCGGCCTCCATCCGGGTTGCTTATCCCTGGTGGTGAGCAACCACCTTCATGCATCTCAGTGCTGTAAATATTACTCTCTGTGCATGAAAGTTCTCCCCTGATGAATGATGCGTTTGTTTCCCAATATTCTTAAGACAGGCTAATAAATTGGAAGTTGAACTTGTGTCCCAGTTGCCTAACCCATTGTTCTTAGACCTCTTCTTTCCTCACTCACCATAGGTTTTCTCTGTCTTTTCCTGATTTCTCCTTCTCTGTGCGACCCCTAAATAGGGGAATACTCCAGGGCTCAGGCTTTAGACCTCTTCTCTGTCCTGTTACCCAGGGTGGTGCTTCTCAGGACATCATGTGCCTTCCCTTCCCTTGGGAGTCTTGTTAAAAGTCAGACCTGAGGAAAGTAGGTCTGGACCTGAGCCTCTGCAGTTCTGAAGAATTCCCAGGGGGCACACCCAGGCCAACAAGGCCCCACGAAGGACTTTTCTCCTCTAGTCTCATGACTTTTTAACACCATCATTTGGTGCCAGGTGCCAGGTTCTGTCTCCAGCATGGACCCCTCACCAAAACCCGACTCACGTATCCAGTTGACCACCTGAGAGCTTCATTTGGATATCTAAAGAAATTTCAAACCTACTATTTTGAAAATTGCACTAGTTACCACCCTTTAAGATGCCCTCTCTGACCTCTGTGCCTATAGTCCCCTCCTTCCCGCATTTCTGTCCAGCCACAAGGCCTCCTTACTGTCCTCAAACAAAGCCAGCATGCATAAGATGTTCCCGAAGGACATACTGCTCAAAACAAGAGAAAGGAACAAGAGCAAGTGGATTCTCGCCATCCGACTGATGATTTGTAATTGAATTTTGAAAATAACATATGACGTTGAGCAGTCAGCTTTCAAATGTATGCCTTCTTGTCTTGATTTAAAAGCAGTATACTATTGTGCTTAATTTTGTATGCAACAGTCTATATTTGGTCCTACTTTAACAAAAGATGCAGTTACCAGCCGTTTCCCAATATGCTGAAAACCAAAATGTGGCGTCATCTCACTGTGCTTGGGACCTTCCCTCCCACATCAGTAAAACCCACAGCATTCACTCTCTGCCTGGTTAGTGCCGACAAAGCTGAATATAGTTATCGATGATTTGAAATTGTCTGCTTTTTAATGAGGATTCTGTATGGGCTGGGTTTTATTTATTTTTTTAAATTTTAAGTAATAATGGAAGCAAGCTAAAAAGTGAGTATAAAACGTTACATAAATGAGAAATGGGACTCCTTCCTGTCAGCTACCCTCTCTCACCAGATGATGGTGTGTCAAGTAGTAGTTGATTGATTTTTTGAAAATTATTTTGCCTATTTATTTTTTTTTAAATGTTTGTGGGTTTTGTTTGTTTTGTTTTATTTTTTTTTTGAGAGAGACAGAGCAAGCAGGGGAGGGGCAGAGAGAGAGGGAGACACAGAATCCAAAGCAGGCTCTGAGCTGTCAGCACGAAGCCCGATGCGGGGCTCGAACCCATGAACTCTGAGATCATGCCCTGAGCTGAAGTTGGCTGCTTAACCAACCGAGCCACCCAGGTGCCCCAAATTATTTTGCCTATTTTAATTGTTGACAATATGAAAGAGGTGGAAATCATGCTGTGAAATGCATACACATGATGAAATTAAGTTGTAAAAATGACCGCCATGATGGGTACTTTCTAAATCTCAAACAGAGGAGTCGTACGTGGAACATTGTCCAGGGCAGGAATCCTCTGCGTTCAGAAAGCTGCCTCTTCTATGAATTGAAGACCTCCTCCAGTCTTACTCTGTCCCACAGAGCAGCCCTTGCATCCTCTGCTCTGTGCCTGCCCTCTTTCTTGTGTGTGGTCCCCAGTTCCCTGGGTCAGCTTTTCCTTTGAGTCTCTCACCCTGTCTCCCTCAGTGATCCTCTCTCTGGTTCCGTCTCCCTCTCGCGTGGCTCAGTAACCAGATTGTCTTATCGTCCGCTTTCCGTGGGCAGGAACTGACCTCTTCCTGATTATCCTTCATACTGGCTTCCAGCTAGTCTCTCCTGTCCAGTAGATGTTAACTTTTACTGAGTGAGCTTGCCCAGCGTTTTTATCGGCCTCAATGGCCAAGAGAATGGGTGTTGGTGTCAGATCGTGCGTGGTTCATGTCCCAAATCTGCTGCTAATTAGTTGTGTGACTGAACAAGTTACTTAACATCTCTGGGCCCTTCTTTAGTAAAATGGGGCCCATAGTGGTGCTTGCCTCATGGGCCACTTTGAAGGTGAAATGAGATTGCTTATGCAGAAAGCTTACATGGTGGAGACGGCCACGTGTCCACTGACAGAACAAATAGAATGCGTGTATCCATCGTGATAAGTGAAATAAGCCAAATATAAGGACAAATGATATATGAGTTCACTTACACAAATGTCTACAATAGGCAGATTCAGAAAGACAACTGAGGGGAATGGGGAACTGTTGCTGAATGATTAGAGTTTCTATTTGCGGTGACGACTGAGTATTAAAAATAAATAGTGGTTATGGTTGCACAACACTGACTGGCTCTAATTAGTGCCACTGAATTTTAAGCTTAATGGTTAGAAGGGCACATGGTATTTTGTGTATTTTACCAGAGCTTAAAAAAAGAATAATGTAGGGATGCCTGGGTGGCTCAGTTGGTTAAGCATCTGACTCTTGATCTCAGCTCAGGTCAGGATCTCATGGTTCGTGAGTTCAGGCTCCGCCTCGGGCTCTACATTGATGGTGCGGGGCTCGCTTGGGATTCTATCTCCTTCTCTGTGCCCCTCACCTACTTGTTCTCTCTCTCTCTCTCTGTTAATAGAAATAAACTTAAAAAAATAATAACATAGTATGCCAAAAATAATCGAATCATATATCTTGAATGGGTGAATTTTATACTGTGTGAATTCAGTGTCAGTAAAGCTGTTTTAAAAATCTCAGCTTAGCGCCTGGCATGTGGTAAGTACCTAATAAATGGTGGTTATAGTTGTGATTGTCAATCCTTAGCAAGTCACTGTGATTCCAATTTATATTAGAGGAGTATTTGATGGCTAAGTAAGGCTTTGTCTCTGTGGGTTCTCATCAATTTTCTCACCTCATTTCTGTCCCTCAGAGTTATTGATTTAGGGGTCATGACTCCCTGCGACAAGATACTGAAAGCTGCTCTTGACCACAAAGCAGGTACTGTGCTACAGACTTTGGGCCCTCCGAGTGTCCTTTCCCCCATGTCTGTCCGTCAGTGAGTGGTGACGCCCCAGCCCGTTCTGACAGGTGCCAGCTCTAGCTCCTCCTGTGAGGGAGCTGTTTTCATTGTCCTTGATGGTAGGGGTTGAATCGGTGAATAGACGACTTTGAAACTCCATGCAGCTCAGAAGATGGGGAATGAAACAGGTTTCTTATTACAGGGTTGCGTTAGATTTTTTTTTTTTTTTGGTGTCGTTTTTATGTTTCTTCAGATACTGGTATGTTCAAGTTCTGGAAGTCATGAACAATGTGTTTTATTTGCATGGCTTCCCCCAATTGTGGCAAGTACGTTGTTGCAACTTTAAGTTACAAATCCCATATATTATCTAAAGCAAACAAAGTGAAACTCCCCAATCAGAAAAGATGTTTTAGAATTAGAAATGGGGAGTTGATGGGGCGCCTGGGTGGCTTAGTCGGTTAAGCGTCCGACTTTCGCTTAGGTCATGATCTCGCGGTTCGTGGGTTCGGGCCCCGCGTCGGGCTCTGTGCTGACTGCCAGCTCAGAGCCCGGAGCCTGTTTCAGTCTGTGACTCCCTCTCTCTCTGACCCTCCCCTGCTCACGCTGTCTCTCTCTCTCTCTCCTAGAAATAAAAAAAAAAAGAAAAAGAAAAAAAAAAGAAAGAAATGGGGAGTTGATGTTAGGTCTTATGGTCTTTATTACAAAGCTGCTAAAATGAGTCTTCTATACTTCTCTGCTTTTTCTCTCCTCTTCCTTCTCACTGTCCTTTCTTCTTTTTTGAAATACTAGATATAATTGGCTTGTCAGGACTCATCACTCCTTCCCTGGATGAAATGATTTTTGTTGCCAAGGAAATGGAGAGGTTGGCTATAAAGATTCCATTGTTGATTGGAGGGGCAACCACATCAAGGTAAGTCACGCTAACGAGCTGCTTGCTTTCCCTTAAATTCTTTTTTAAAAAGGTGGGGTTTTTTTAGTGTTGTTATTTATTTTTGAGACAGAGAGAGAGACCAAGCATGAGTGGGGAAAGGGCAGAGAGAGAGAGGGAGACACAGAATCGGAAGCAGGCTCCAGGCTCTGAGCTGTCAGCACAGAGCCCGATACGGGACTTGAACTCATGGACTATGAGATCATGACCTGAGCCCAAGTCAGACTACTCAGCTGACTAAGCCACCCAGGCGCCCCTTCCCTTAAATTCTTTTAAATGCCAATGTTTAAAAACAGCAATGAAACCTGGGTTGTTTTTGAATTATACTCAGCACATCGGTTCCTTATTGTATAAGGGCATGAGCTTTCAGTTTTCACTTAGACAGGAGCCTGGGCCAGGACACTTTTGGAGCATGCTCTAGGAGACTTCCTCTGTGACCACCCCACCCTTTGCCTTTTTTGGGATTCTTTGGCTTATTGTTGTCTTTTCCTTAATCTTCTCTCCTCCCATTTGGTTCTTGAGATTTCTGTTAAACACTCTTCTGGAAATCAAACCAAGTGGAGAAGGTGTATTTTTTGGCACAAAGACATGGCTTGAACTTCAGCGCACTCTCTGTCTCAAAGCAGGTATCTGATTGAGTAATAAATACAGGTTCCCTTGAAGAAACTCCAACCTGGAAATAGTTGAGGCAGAAGGCCAGCCTAGCAAGAATGAATCAGAGAATCACCTTGGGAAGTTGTTTTTAAAGGGGGAACCTTTGGAGAACCTTTGGGTTAAGCAATTTAAAGGAGAGAAAGTTCTAAGTTGGTCACATGGCCAGGTTGGTTCTGCCCGATTTCAGCCTCATATAAATGGAATCCTGTTGCATGTAATCTTATGTGTCTGGCTTATTTTGTGCAGTGTTATTATACCTGGGGTGTCCAGACCGCTTGTTGCAGGAGTTGCTGTTCCCTTGTGGTGTAATATCCCAGCGTGTAATATACTAGGACTTAGTTATCCATGCAGCTGTGGGGGGTGTTGGGTTTTTCCAGTGTGGGGCTGTTTGGCAGAATGCCAACTCGCTGGGTCATATGCATGTGATTGATCATTGGTGTTGGACGTTGCTGGGTAGTTTTCCGAGGTGATTGTATTAGTTTACACTCCCACTGGCATTTATGAGAGTTCCAGTTATCCCACACCCTTTTCAATTTTATCCATTTTGGTAGGTATGTAATCACATCCTGGTAAGGTTTTCATTTGTGTTTCCTTGCTGACTAATAATGCTGAGTACCTTTTCACATGTATGTTGACTGTTTATGATTTTTAAGTCTTTTTTTTTTTTAATTGGCTATTCTGCCTTTTTTCTTACTGACTTGTACATATGCTTTATTTATATTGGATGCAAGCCCTTCATTAGAAATATATATTACATGTAGACTCCTACATTATGACTTGACTTTTGCTGTCTTAGTTGTAATTTTAAATAACAAAGCTTTTATGTTCATGAAATCTGGTTTATCAGTCTCTTCCTTTACAGTTAGTTCTTTTTGCATCTCTGTAAGACTCCATCTATTCCTGGGATGGAGCAGCTTTGCTAGAAGGCGTTCAGAGTTTGGATGTCTTAGAAGCCCTCTCAGAGCCTTATTATTACCTCCTGCAGAACTGTTGAGAGCCCAGCAGCCTTCCAGTTTTTCCCTTTGCTAACTGTTATTTGAGCAGATGGCAGCTCGGGACTTCCGAGTTGTCACGAAAGGAGATGAGGAGGTATGACTCCGGACCTCTGTGGCCTGTGGTGGCGTGATGGAGCTAGATTTGCACTCCCAAGGCACTTGCAGCAAGCCTCAAGGCTGTCTGATGGATCCTTGGAGAAGCTGAAAGGGCTGTACAGATTTGGGGTCATGTGTGTACGGAAATATGCCTGGGGTTCCCTTTTGAACTGGTAGCTAGAAGGGAACGAAAGACTGAATATTCTCCTGTCTGTGACGCTTATGGTTTTGTATCACAAACTAGAAATGACTTTAATGGCAATCTGGCCCTGTTAGCTACAGACCTTCTCAAAGGCACAAATCTAGCAGTTCCCTTTTCTAAATGGTTGAGAGCCAATAACTGCAAAATGTCTTTTTCAGTTATATTGTATGAGTAATGGAGAATTCAGAAGGAATTCAGTGCTCAGAAATAGAGGTAATTTTCCAAACATACACATTTTTTAGTTGTTAGGAGGGAAGGTGTCAAATCATGTAACTGGTACTGTTTTCCTCTCTGAGTGGCTGCCAGGAAGCCTGGAGCTCAGGCCTGGGTATGGGATCTCACAGACCCGACTTCTGCGTCTGACCCCACTGCTCAGTGTTCGCATCTTTATTTCCTCTCTTGTTTTTCTCACCAAACTCTAAGGTTTTATTTTTTATTTATTTGTGTGTGTGTGTGTGTGTGTGTGTGTCATGCTGCATTTATGTAAAACATTTTAATTCTGGAAGGGTAAGGCATGAAATAAGTGCTTGGAGTAACTTGGGCTTTTTCGGTGCTTTTAAAAAGAGTTTCTAAAGTTAACCCTATCGTGCCCACTTGGCAGGTATTGGAGGCGACTAATTGTATCCCCGGCATTGGTGAGTGACGTTGCTGAGTCGGAGTTGAGACAGCGCATCAGGGGCTAGCCCTGTGCTGTTGGTTTGTGGAGACTGGGCAGGAGAGATTCCAATGTTTCACATCTTTTCAGACTTCAGAGACATGTTTGCCTCCAGCTGGAGAGGGTTGCATAGATGGAGGTTTATAAGAAAGTAGAATCAGTATCATATCGTTTTGTAAAGAAACCAGAAGTACTCTTGATGGCCAAGCAAGTGCAGATTTAATGGTTGTCTCATTTAGCTTTGTCTTTTTTTTATGCTGGAAAGCAACACTTTGCTTTTACTTGGTGGTGGTGGTGGTGTTTGTAAATAGCGGAACCCATCAGTTTCTGCTTGGGACCCTTGTCCAGAGATCACCAGTGAGAGAATGGCCAGAATTGCACAGAGAACACTTGGAGGCTTAATAAATATTGTGTTGACTTGAAGGTTTACAACTGTACTGGTTCTCTTTAAGAAAAATGTCAACTAAGTCATATTCGGCTCAGTTTTTCCTAGCGGAACTCCATGCAGAACATACATTGAGGTATGTTTGTGTGCTCGAAGAGCTGATCCCCTAAAGAAGAGGAAGCAAGCATAGTCTCACTTACTGAGTGAGAAACTGTTTTGAAACTGGAAGCAGTTTCTTCTTTAAAACTATTCCTGGAGTGCCTGGGTGGCTCAGTTGGTTGAGCGTCTGACTTTGGTTCAGGTCATGATCTTGTAGTTTGTGGGTTGGAGCCCCTCATCAGGGTCTGTGCTGACAGCTCAGAGCCTGGAGCCTGCTTTGGATTCTGCGTCTCCCTCTCTCTGTCCCTCTCTTGCTCACATTCTCTCTCTTTCTTACTCTCTCTCAAAATTAAACATTAAAAATAAATTAAAATAAATAAAACTAGTCCTACTATTTGAAAATCTACCCCTTGGAGAATACCAAGGATATTTCCAAATCCTTGGTCCCTGGGCACGCAGTGGGCACAGAACATCCTTGGGAGGCCGTGAAGTTCGTGTGGCTGCTGCTCTGTCCCCCTGCCCCCAACTCTAGAAGCGTCTCTTGTACTAAGTGGCTTAGGCCTGCACTTCCATTTTATGAACACAGGTTCGGTTCCTGTGTTCTGGCTCTCGTCCTCTGCTTCCTGTCTGTGTGTGGAGAGACGCGCACAAAGGAAACAGGTGAAATGTCAGAGTCCTGTCTGTCTCAGTACGAATGAATTTTTAGTCCTCCCTCAGAAGTCTATTAAAAACACACGTATATCACGCCTCTCATAGTCTCTTGGTTTTAAAATTTTCCTCCATAGTCCACGATGACTATTAGAACATGTCACACATTTCAGAGGGATGTAAAGTAAAATTTATTCTCTCCCTTCCCCTCTTCCATTCCACCTCCAGCCTCTGTGTAACCAGTGTTGATACCTGTTTTTTTCTAAATATACAGAAACTCCTATGTAAGGTTGGAGGGTTAGGGCAGGTTCAGGGTGGTTTTTTTTAAAAAACAGTTAAATGTACTGTTCGGTATTTTGTTTTTTCCCCACATGGTAGCATATTCTGGACAATGCATTTGGGTTGAGGGGGAGAATATGACAGCTTCTGACCCAGGGAGGAGCTACCTTGGGGGTGAACATGGGGTGAGCAAAGACCGGCAGGGACGGAACATGTGGCCTGTCCTGGGGCAAGTGCAGCTGCCGCCTTTGGACTTGGGACTATGGCCCCTGGTCATGGCCCCGGTTTAACCCCAGTTAGAGAGGGCACACGGGGCCAGCCTCACTCCTCACATTAGTGGGCTGTGTTCCATGAGGAAAGGTGTGTACCCTGTGCTGTCAGACCGAGTCACCAGAGGCAGCTTGCCGCATACTTCAGTTAGGTCGTTTCAAGGACTGATGGGTGTTTGTTCCTCACCACTGATGTTCCTGGGTCTGGTGGGGGAAGGGGAGTTGGGGCTGAGCCGATGTTGGTAGAAGACTGTTGTTGCTTAGGCCTCTCGGTTCCTTCATGCCAAATTTATTCAGGATCCGCGGCCCCGTATTACAAGTGTGAGGTGAGGTGGAATCGGGGCGAGGAGTGGTGTCCCTCAGGAATGGGGAGCAGCAGCTAGTGCGTCCTGGGTCCACCACTTGGGGTCTGGTTCCCCAGGGCCCCTGGCTGCTACCCCAGCTCATTTGGAGGAAGAAACACAGTCTGACCTGTATGACAGCAAGGTGCAGTCGCCTGGGCTGGTTAGCTCCTTCCATTCAGACAGGCCCTAATGAGTGCAAAGTCACGGTCTCATCCCCTTTGGCAGAGAGCTGAGAACAAAGCCTTCCGCGTTTTGTCACAGACTTTTTTTGTAGCCTGAGTTGACAAATCCATGTCTTCTCTCCCTGAATCCCCCATTTTAGGGTGGAGAGGGAGTCAGTTTTGTTTTACAAGGCACATGTGAAGTTTAGTATTTGGAAGTACGTTGAGACTGTTCTCTGGAAAGCACCCTGTAGGAACACGTTATCTCTAATGGTTCCAAACAGGTCATGTGGGAACTGTCAGTGCTGATGGATATGTTCCTTCCTGACCCCTCTTTTTAGGACCCATACGGCAGTTAAAATAGCTCCCAGATACAGTGCGCCTGTGATCCACGTCCTGGACGCGTCCAAGAGCGTGGTGGTGGTAAGTGCGGGGTTTCCATTAATCTCCATATGTAAAGAGAAAAGAGAAGATTGATTCTTCTGAATAAGGGGTATTTCCCAAGATGATCTTTTTATTTTTGTCCAGTTCTACTAAAAAATGTGGAAGAATATGTGAAGGCTCGATAGGATGGTGTCACTGTACACTATAGTTGTCTGCATTGCTGGAAGGGGGCCAGGTGGGTGTGTCCTGTGCTTTTAGACCACATCTGAGTCACTGAGAAGCGGTGCCAGGATCCCTGTGACCTTGACACCAACCCAGAGGGAGAGAGATTTTAGCCACTTACATATATTTACAAGTATGAATATATACTGTCTTAACCCCATGCCAAGGCTAAAAGAAATGTGGAATTTTTTAACATGACCTATTTCCAGATAGAAAGACATTTAATTCAGAATGGGCCAGTTGACCCCACCCAGAGAGAGAAAACGTTCTCTAGATGTTCAAAACCCAGAATAATAGGTTCTTTTTCTTGATGAATGTAATAAATAACTCCCGAGTGGTCTTTTCTGTTTTTCTCTGTCACTGAAGCCTAATATCCACTCTCATTATGGGTTTTATGATTCATTGAATAAGAGGAAATAACAGCTGGAGGGAATCTGAGTGACCATGTGGTCCAGTGGTTTCCAAGTTTGTTTTAGTGACAGAAACTGTGTCTTCCAGCGATGTCTTACCTGGAAACTCAGCACAGTACAAATAAGAGTGACCCTTCCATCCTTCGTCCCAAACCTCATTCTCAAAAGAGCACAGTTCAAAAGTAGCTCATCTCTGGGGGCACCTGGGTTGGTTGAGCACCCGACTCTTGATTTTGGCTCAGGTCATGGTCTCACAGTTCATGAGTTCAAGCCCCACGTCTGGCTCTGTGCTAACAGTGCACAGGCTGCTTGGGATTCTCCCTCTCCCTCTCTCTCTTCCCCTTCCCCACTCATGTTGTCTCTCTCTCATAAATAAATAAAAACTTAAGAAAAAAAAACCCAAACCTGTTAACCTAGTCTAGCCTTCACATTTGCAGGTGAGGAAAGTTACCAAGTGAGTCTGGTGATTTGTGAGATTATCAGGCGATGATAGCCCTGAACTTGGGTGGCCACGTTTCCTGAGCCGTTTTCCAAAGGCATCTTTCCAGATCTGAATTTATTTATAGGAAGGTTGTATAATAATTGCTAACTTTATTAAAAACTAATAGTGTGCCAGGCACTGTGCTGAGTTCTTTACATGGATTTTTCATTTAATCTCCATGAAGCAGATACTCTCATCATTCCTGTTTAGAGATGAGGAAGGAAATAGTCACGGAGAGGTTAGTACCTGTCTTGAGGCCACACATCCATGAAGTGGTAGCATAGAGGATGAAGGCCAGTGGTATTACTCTGTGCTGCTTTAAACACGCTCCCATTAATGTTCAGTGAATCTTCTTTATTAAAAAGGATACAACTAGTGGTACCCGGGTGGCTCAGTCAGCTAAGTGTCCAGCTCTTGATTTCAGCTCAGGTCATGATTGCAGGGTCATGGGATCGAGCCCCGTGTTGGGCTCTGAGCTGGGCCTGGAGCCTGCTCAAGATATATTCTCTCTTGCTTTCTGTCTCCTGTACATTCCCCCACCCCTCTGCTTCTTACACTTTCTCTCTTTCAAAAAAAAAAAAAGAAAAGATACAAGGAAATCAGACTGGAATCATAAAGTCACAGTTTTTATTTGCTGTTGATGTAAACTAATGTCCAAATAAACTAGGTTTCTACAAATTAGTTTCAGAACAGTTTTTTGTATCTTATATTTCAATTGTGCTTTATAAGGAGCTTGTGTGGAGCTCATGGTTGACTAACCAGTGGGCCACTCTGAGCTGTCAGCACAGAGCCCAACACGGACTTGAACTCACAAACTATGAGATCATGACCTGAGCTGAAGTCAGACGCTTAACAGACTGAGCCACACAGGCGCCCCCGAGTGGGCCTCTTTTTAAGGCTTGTTGCTATTTTCAAATGCTAATGAATGACTGAACATTTCCCATTTGGAGACCAGGCCCTCAGCCGTCTTCAAGTACATGGTGCTAGCATTGCCCTCCAGGTCAGGGGATGACTTTGGCTGGGAAAGAACTGGCCTCTGGATTCCATTTTGAGGATACTCCTTTGCCATCTTGAGCTAAGCAGTAAGGGCCAAACTGGGAGCCAGAAGATGGAGCACAGGCACTGGTGCTCCTTACGTGTCCGTCCAGCTGGACCACCAGCAGGGTTAGCTCTTCGCGGATACAGAGAAGTGGCTGCCTTCTGAAATCACTCAGACATAAGTCCGATGATAAGTCATTTGGGTAATTGCAAGTGACACTTTTCAGGATCAGTGGTACAGTTTGTTTAGGCTGCTTGTTGGTTCAGCATCTTTGGGGCCAACTGTGAGGTGCATGCCACCAGCCTGTGCTCTGGGTCACTGGCCTAGGCGTTTGAAAGATTCCAAAACATGGCAACAACATGGTAGTTGGGACTTTAGACCTCAGGATGTTCTTGCTTTCTTTCCTTTCTTTCATTCTTTTTTTAAATACTTATTTTTGAGAGAGTGTAAGTGGGGTAGGGGCAGAGAAAGGGGGGCCAAGGATCCGAGGCAGGCTGTGCAGCAGTGAACCTAACACAGGGCTCGAACCCACAAACTGCAAGATCATGACCTCAGCCTGTCAGACACTCAACTGACTGAGCCATCCAGGTGCCCTCCTTTCTTTTGAAGTAAAAAACAAGGTGCCAGTATTTAGTTCCTTCTGAGTTATAAAATATATTTTCAAGTTATTCCCTCTCATCGGGCTATTCTTGTCATCAAGAATAAAGACTAAGAAAAGAGAGAGGCTGTGCTGTGTCCGAATGGTCAACATGAAAACATATGATGGGGCTGTGGTTTTGGTAGAAAGATCATGAAGATTGGCCTGTATAATTGACCATGAACTTGTTTCCATCAAGCAAGTCAGACTGGGCAGGGAGGGGCTGGCTTGTCACTTTGGCTCTGGGAACAGGGGGCCCCCCAGGGGGTGCTCTGTCGACCCAGTAGTAGCTGTGGCAGAGTATGGTTACGTTCTTCAGATGTTTAGAAAAGCAGACTTTTGCCTTCCCAGAGTATAAAACCTAGCAGAATGCAATATTTTAAACTACTGGTTGCATGTACTTTGGGGAGCACTGGAGTAGGCGTCCTCTTCCTGCTCTCACAGAGTGCTGCTGGCTTTCCTAAATGAGCAGTCCGTTGAACCAAGGTTAATGTAAGGCTGGGAAGTGCCTTGTGGTGTGAATACTGTCTAGGAGCCTGTTTTTAGCCTCACCACAATGGTCTTTTCTGATTGGGTTCCTTAAGAAAGTGGTCTGGCTTTGTACCAACTCTTAGGGGATCAGATTGCTATTAGACATGCTTAGAAAAGTCACATAGAATTATAGCTTTTAAAGCCGGTGGGCCCTTGAGCCATCTTCCAGTCGAACTTGCTCAGTTTCACATAATGGTTCTCAGCCTCCCTGCCCTTGTGTGTGAGGAAAAACCCAGCTGGAGGGGCAGAGATGGAGCTGTGTTTTGAACTGATGATGATCAGTAGCAGCCATTTCTCTTTTTCTTTATAATTTCATTTGAACTTTGGTTTTGGCTCTTCTTTCACCAACTTGATAATGCTGGTCATAAATAATATTCAGCAGATCCTAGTTTTACAGTTTACTGAGTAGCCTTGTGTTTGTCAGATGATGGGTTTCCCTTCTTTTCTTAGCCGGTCATAGTTGACCATGAAGATGAGCCTCATTCCTTCCACAAGCATTTAGTGAGGAGGCACCTTGCACATGGTAGACACAGAATTAGAAACCAGGAGCTCGAAGTGGTTAAGGTGCAGCCCTATCCTCAAAGGGCTGGTCCTCAACTGAGGCAAGGAGATATGTAGACAGGTACTGAAAGCCTGTGGTAAATGCAATGATGGAGACATGAACTAGGTATCTTTGAAACACCAAAGAGAGGTACCTAACTAGTGTGTTGTGTGGGCCCCCAAGACCACCTTCACCTTCAGTGATTTGCTAGAAGGACTCACAGAACTCAGAAATGCTGTTACACTGACAGTCATGGTGTATGGCCATGAATCAGCAAAGGCAAAAATGCGAAGGGTGGAATCCAAAAAAGACCAGGCACCAGCTTCCCGATGTCTTCCCCCAGCAGAGTCATGTGGCCAGCGCTAGTGATGAGTGACACCGTGTATGGAACACTGCCGACCAGGGAAGCTCTCTTGAGCCTTAGCGTCCAGGACTTCTGTTTGGAGTCAGTCACGTAGGCATGTAGTGCTTAAATCACCTGACTGACCTTAGTTACTCCAGAGGTCAGGCAGATAAAACATGAGCAGGCCCCCTTCCTCCCCGTCACATTGTTAGCATAAACTCTCCAGGGTGGCCTGGGGCTCCATGTAGAGGAAGACTCTTATCAGGCAGTATATTTATTTCAAGGGCTTAAAGCTTATCTTTCAGGAGCCATCAAGGGCTTTCTTTAGAATGTGTGAGATTTGGACATCGTAGATCCACTGAGGCAGCCCTTAATTGCACACCACGGCAGGAATTTGCGAAGCTGGTGAGGGGAGAGAGGATGACGTTGACAAGGGAATGTTCCTACAGGAAGTGTCACTAGCACTGATCAGTGTTGCCCATGTTTTATTTATCTCCGTTTGCTCCTCTGTGGTTCTTGAACTTCCATCTTGCGTTTTCAGTGCTCTCAGCTATTAGATGAGAATCTGAAGGATGAATATTTTGAGGAGATCTTAGAAGAATATGAAGATATCAGACAGGACCATTATGAGTCTCTCAAGGTAAGTGACAAATGCCTACTAGCTTGGGTATTAAAATGATCCTTCATTTTTTAAAAAATATGACTTTATTGTTTAAAGGAGGGTAAAAGGTTTAGCATCATTTTAGAGAAGCCTTGTTTTCGTGTTCGAATTGGAATTCTCTGGTGTCCAAGTTCTTGATAACTTGGGGTTATACTAAAATTAATTTCATTTATTCCACCAAACATTTATTGGGTACACAGTAGGTGTTAGGTGCTGTGCTAGACAGCAGAGCTATGAGAATGAATAAAACCTACCGAGCAGGAGAACAGGAACTGAAACAGCGTATGGAAAATGACTCCCACAGATCCTTGTTCTTGAAATAACGGAAGAAAATGAAGACATTAGTGGATTGTCTGCCTCTCTCCCTGCCCAGCGTGACCGTGCAGAGCAAAGTTTCAACAGCTGTCCTTCTCTAGATAAGCTTCAGGGAATCCTTGGAAAGGAGGCATAATTGCTCTTTAGAAGTCACTGGAATATTTCTGCCTGGTTCATCTGCCTGTTGGGCCTTGTCCATAGAGAGGTGCATTTTGGGGGTGGTGAGGCGAGGGAAATGAGACAACAAACAACAGGAAGAAAAGCGGTGTTTGTGAGGTGGTGACCAGCCCAAGATACTGTGGCTGGCTTTCTGCCTCTTAGGTTTGCCTACAGTTGAAAGTTTCTTAGTTCTGCCCTCTGGTCCTGGGGGCCGTTGACAACAGGCCAGGTAAGCCTGTTCTAGAAGCACAGACAGGACACTGCTCCCAGAAGGGTACCGGTCAGCCTTGTATCTACCCATCAATAGTTAATGGATATTTATTGAATCCTTACTCTCTATTGTTCGGCTGCTGATGTGAAGCTATCACATTAGGTGGAAAAGGAAGAGCTTTTCAGGATATGAATATTCATTAATGAAAGCATTTGTGGGCTTTTTTTCTTTCTCTCTTCTCTCTCTCTTTTTTTTTTTTTTAACAAAAATACTTTCATAGTAGCAGCTGAAAAGTTAAGAGTCTCTGACTAAATGAATTCTCTCTTTTTCATAGGAGAGAAGATACTTGACCTTAAGTCAGGCTAGAAACAACGGTTTCCATATGGACTGGCTGTCGGAGCCTCCTCCAGGTCTGTTTGGCTGTCGTTAGAGAAAGGCTGTGGGTGATAACGTGAGCTGGAGAGAGGTTTGCATTCAGCTGGCTGGGAATCAAACAGGCAGCTAGAGATGCTTGATCATGTCTAACAATGGTGATGAAGGACACTGAAGATTGAAAATAAAAGTAAATAGGTACCATATGTGGAGGACCGGACTATGTCCCGAGATTGCCCAGCATGTCTGAGTGCTTTGACACAACCCCGTAGTGAATGCTATTAGCCCGCTTAAATGTGAAGGCCCCAAGTTTTGGGTAAGAGCCCAAAAGGTTATTGGGTTCTGTCTCTGGCCTGACTTCTGACCCACACTCCCTCCTCTGTGCTGGGCTCAACTGCCATCCCTACCCCGCAGCCTGATGCAGGTTCTGGGCGGTACAGTTACTGAGTGGCCTGGGTCACAGGCCAGGCCCCAGGGCTGGCATGTAGTGTCTGAGACTGAAGACACCTTCACACTGAACAGACCTTTATAACATTCCGGCAAAGCTTGAGCTGCTGTTTGTTGTTTGCTCTCTCCCATTTTCTCTCTGAATGCTTCCCTCTTTTTGTTTCTTTTATTTGTTTTTTTCCCCTTTATTATTTCCGGCCAGCTCTCTTGCCTTACAGAGGTGTTCAGGAGGGAGTAAAATATGGAGGGTGTTTGACACACTCATGGCCCAGACAGGGTGAACAGGGGTTGTATTCATTGAGTCCATATCTCTAAGGTAATACCTCGGATCCGCTCTCCTTGCTCACAACGTCTGTTCTGCGGATCCTCGGCAGATTTGAGAGCATTAAATTGGAAATGTAGGTGAGCTTGGCTCTGATTTCCATCCTGCTGAGCCCACCATGATTTAGTAGGAGGAGCACCATGTCAGGAGTCAGGAGGCCTGTTTCTAATTCCAGTTTGGCTCCTGGCTGCAAATCATTGACTGACCTTACGCATCTTGTGTCCATGTTCGGACAGCTTCTAATGTGTGAGGAGGAGTTACCCTATGAAAGGTTGTGAGACTAAGAGAAGATAAACCTTTGAAAAATGTAAATTACTATATCATCTATTATTTTCTTTCACTATGATTGGAAAAATCTCACAAGGGAAAGTCCATTTTAACCAAGTCAAACATCCAGACACAGTTCAGTGGGGACATTCCTCTGAAGGCCCACGGCACCAGGCGGCAGTCAAATGGCCACTTGTCCCCAGTGCGGGGGCCCTGCGAGGCCTGGACCTGCTGCTTAAACGCACGGCCCTCAGAAGTGTTTTTGAGGACAACCCAGTCTGAGAGAGTTGCAGGAAGTCAGTAAAGGGAAAAAGAAGGGTTCTCTCAAGGTCATTGGTGGTAAAATTCAAGACCAGCATCCTTCAGTGACTCTGCGATGGCCTTTCTCCCTGCGTTTCCCGGCAGGAGGACACATTCATCACGAGGAAATCTGTAGTTTCTTTCTAAGTGTCAAACAAAGCAACATACGAGAATGTGATGAGAAAGTGATGATTCTGAATAGTAAAACGTGATCAGGAGCAAATGAGAAAGAGCTACTGCGAGCATGTGTGAAAACATAGAGATTTCCAGCAAGAGTAAGAAGCAGCTCATACATCTCCTGCACCACTGCCTCACATCCACCTCTTACTGTCTGAGGAGACAGAAGTGCTCTCGAGACTTTGGTGTTATCCCAGCACCTGAGATTAGCAGCATGGTGTAAGTTCTCTGATCCCTGTTTACAGAGCAGGAAGCTGAGGACAGGGGGCAGGGAAGCTGGCAATGTGGTCATCACTTCCAACCCCACTGACCCGCTGCAGGCAGGGTGCCGGTGTGCTGCTCTTCATAATTCCTCGTCATTATTCAACTCAGGTCCTACTTTAGACTCACAAGGGGTGTGAAGCACGATAGGTTGAACATGCGTGAATACCTCTAGCCACCTCAGAAATAACCTGGTGCCCATTTTAAAAACAAAGCAATACCAGGGCATCTGGGTGGCTTGGTTGGTTAAGCTTCCAACTCTTGATTTGGGCTCAGGTTATGATCTCATGGTTCATGGGTTTGAGCCCCGCCTGGGGCTCTGTGCAGACTGCGTGGAGCCTCTTTTGGATCCTCTGTCTCTCTGTCTCTCCCCTGCTCATGCACTCTCTCTCAAAAATAAACATTAAAAAAAATATGTAAGTGGTGAAAGCTGCCTGTGTGCCCACTCTCCCCTGCACAATCCTGAATTTGATTCTTTGTTTCTGTGCATTTCCTTATACTTTGCCTATGTATATGTGTACCAGTGGGAAGTAGAGGTTACTGATTCACGTTTTTACTATTCTGGTAAGTGGTTTACTGTATGTGTCTTTCTATAATGACATTCACTTTAGTATTGTCTCCATCTGACAAGCGAAGAAAAACGCTTTTTTTCTCTTGGACCAAAGGGGAGAAGGAAGAATTTCTAAGGGCTGGTGTAGAAGCTGCGTGGGAATGGGAGTTTTATATAAGATTCGCTGCAAAACTTACAGTTCCTCTCCTTGTAAAACAGCCCCGACCAGAGGGAGGGAGAGTGTGGGGGCCCGGAGCTGGACAGAGCTGTCCCGGAGGCGTCTCGCAGATCCCTGCTGCGTCTGTTAGGCGCTTTGCCCCAGGCTCCGGCACTGGTGTTGACATCAGTACTTATTTTTACAGTGAAGCCCACATTTCTTGGAACTCGGGTCTTTGAAGACTATGACCTGCAGAAGCTGGTGGCCTACATCGACTGGAAGCCTTTCTTTGATGTCTGGCAGCTCCGTGGCAAGTACCCGAATCGGAACTTTCCCAAGATATTTAAGGACAAAACCGTAGGTTCGTTCAGCAAATGCTTCCTTTCTGCACTGATAGTCGACACATAGTATTGAGACTTTGAAGGGGAGAGCAGGTGGAGACCAGAGGATTTGGATTCTGTAGGAGATAGTTTATTGTTATAATCTAATATGTGGGCTATTGTTTACCTCTTCAGTGGTTTGAAGCTGCTACGTTGGTCCTTATTTATGGACTGTGGTTGGCATTTCATTTCTCTGTTCTTTAACAAGCCAGGCTCTTTGTTTGGTACCAGGGATAAACGAACCCCTGCCCCCTGGGGTGTGGCTGGGAGCTGGTACAACCTGTGGTGATGAGGGTTCTCACACAGCCTGCCGAGCTCCTGCCATGGAGCTGATCCCAGGGTTCTGTGTACCCAACATGAGACAGACCTCAGACTGGGAGGTCAGGGGAGGCTTCCTGGCAGAGGTGGTTTTGAGCTGCATTTGGAAGAGCAAATGGGAGTTACTGAGGCTAGGACTGGGGGTGTGAGATGGCACCAGAGAAGAGGATGTACCAGGCATAGGAGACAGGGGACAAGAAGGCATAGTCACAGGTGCCCATTTGGGGAAATGCCAGGAGTCCCATGTGCCTGGAGCACTGGTTGGGGGAAGGGATTTGGGGCAATTGGCAAGAGAAGTGGGAATGAGTGGAGTTCTAGCCCCACCCCCAAAACCTGCCCCCAGAGGCCTGAGGTCACTCAGAGGATAAGGAAAGAGCCAGATGAGAGCAGAGTGGCAGGTGGCATGCTGGGAGTGTGAGAGGAGCCCCTGATTTGGCTGAAGCCACTGATTTGGGGCTGGGCCACGCTTGCCCCCGAGACCTGCCGCACGTCCCCAGAGCCCTCTGGGAGGTCGGTGGGGTGATGGGCACACAGGAAGGTGGGTGATGGAAGGGTCTGGCCTGCTCTGTCTGGCAGACTGCGCTGGGAGCCACACGTCACTCTCTCTGCCTGTTGCTGCCTGGAGGCACGTCCATGGTTTGTGCTGGGGAGACAGAGCAGGTGGGGGGTCAGCAGAGCCGCCAGCCCTCAGCTGCTCCTCTTAATCATGCTGCTCACAGGCACCAGTGCAGTATTTGAGAGGAAAGGAGGGTGACCAGAGACCATGGCTCCGGAGGGGTGGTGGCTTTAGGAAGAAATGGTTTTTGCTGATGACCACTGGCATTTTTAGGTGAATTCTGACAATATTTTCCTATCAGGTGAAGAGGCCAAAAAAGTCTATGATGATGCCCAAACCATGCTGACAGCACTGATTGGTCAAAGGAAGCTCCGAGCCAGGGGCGTGGTTGGATTCTGGCCCGCACAGAGCGTGGAAGATGACATCCACCTATTTGCAGAGGATGCGGTGCCCCAGACCGCAGAGCCCATCGCCACCTTCCACGGGCTCCGGCAGCAGGTACGGAGCCACACCGACAGCCCCGCTGCTGGCGGAAGCACTGAACAACCCTAAGTACGAATTAAATAAGTCTGAGCTTTGTGCACATGACAGGGCTGCCCCAGTTCCCCCCAAATGACTGTGCACAGGCCCGAGGCCAAGGAGTTTGTGAGGACAATGGAGGGAAGAAGCCAGTGTGGGCAGAGGCTGGCCGCTTGGGCACCCGCGGGACTCTGGTGAAGCACAGACGCTCATCTTGTTCCTAAACCTGGGTTTGCAGGCATGCATGTTACTTAAAACAGGCCGGTGGGTCCCCTTCTCAAGAGGAAGACAGGCGGGGACAAACATTTGCTGCATGTCTGGGAGATGCCGGAAGGACCATCATGTTTCACATCCGCACAGCCTTGTCGCGGGCAGTCCGCATCTCCGTCCGTCAGCAGGAGGAACAGAGGCCCATGGGATGGAGCCAAGTGCGCGGCAACCAGAGCATGAGCCTGGCCTGTGATCACCAGCTTCCCTCTGCACGGCCGCCTCTCATGCTCACCCCGCGACAGTGCGGATGTCCTATGCATGGCCTGTAGCTGCTACAAAACACAGTTGTTCCCATCCAGAACTGGAGCCAAGATTCACCAGGGTCGTTGGCACAGGGTTGCAGTGAATTTCCCTGTGAGGTGTCACTTCCGTTTCCAGCCATTCAGAATCAGAGCAGTAGTATTGCTTTTAATCGTCACCGCGATGTGATTCATAATGACAGGTGTTTTAACTATAACCATATCTGAAGGGATTCTTAAATTTGGGACGTTAAATGATGCCGTACAAGCTCACCGAGGGCGGCTGCGCCACCCCAGATGGGTCAGCGAGTCAGTGGGCGGCACCATAAGCTTCAGGGCTAGTGCTTGCTTGCCGGCCCTGGAAATAGGCACAGCCTCACTGACACTGGGCAGAAAATGGTTCTCATTTTCTCCGCGTTCCCACCCCTGCTGACTCAGAGCCAGTCACTCGGCTTTCACGGGTGTGACTCGGCCCTCAGGCCTCTGCCCAGTTTCTCGTCCTTAGGTCCTGTGTCCTCTGATCTCTTGTTATGTCCAAACATTCATGTCCTAACCAGGCAGGCTGTGTGTTAGGGCATCTAACATAATGACTTCTCAGTGTGCACGTTACCCATTCACGTAGCTCTTTCTTTCAGTGCTCTGGAAGGTTCTGGCTGCTCCGGGAGCTTTCAGTCTCAGTGGCTGTGGTGGCTGTCTCTTCTCAAGTGCTGTGGGGCTCTGTGACCTGTCTCTCCTTGTGGGGCCAGGAAGCTTTGTGTCTCCCTCTGGCTTTTGTTAGCAGAGAATATATAGCTAGAAAGCCGCTCTTCCCTACATAGCTGTCCCTGAGGTTGGTGACATTTCCATGGGGCTGTTATCAAACACCTGCTGACCGGCAGCCATTTAACCATTTTCTGACCAGCGTTGGTGAGGCTGTGCTGTTTCCAGGGCCGGCTAGCGAGCACCAGCCCTGAAGCTTCTGGTGCCGCCCACTGATTCGCTGACTGGCCTCGTGGCGTATAGCAGTCAGAAGCTATGTTGTGGGGTCAGACCCCTGCCCCTGTCGCCATCTGACACTGAGCTACCTGGTCATGCTCTCCATGCCTCAGGTTCCCGTCTGTGAAGTGGGGCTGGTGGCATCATGTATTTCCTTCACACAGTTGTTGACAACATTACATTAGTGAATTCCTATAAAGCACCAGCCAGCAGTGCCTGACGTACAGTAAACACCCGGTGAATAGTAGATTTAGCTATTTACCTTCTCAGCAAATACTTGCGGATTGTGAAATAGGTTTGAGACCTGATTTGTCAGTGGGGTGAGAGCCCATCATAAGAGGAGAGACTCTCAGAAGCCGGTCCTGCTCAATTCTCAGTTCGGTTCCAGGCCGGCACAGGGGCGGCCTCAGCCATCTCCCGCAACACCGCCACGGCAGGCAGCGTGTGGCCCTTGGCTGATGGCCAGGAGCTTGTCGAGCCGCGTCTGTTGATGTGAAGTAGAGGCCTGTGCATTTGGGGGATCCCTCTTAGGTTTTTTTGTTGTTGTTTTTATGTTTTAAATTTTTTAAAAATTTCATTTATTTTGAGAGAGAGAGGGCGTGAGCAGGATAGGGGCAGAGAGAGGAAGACACAGAATCTGGAGCAGGCTCCAGACTCTAAGCCATCAGCACAGAGCCCAATGTGGGGCTCAAACCCATGAGCAAGATCGTGACCTGAGCCAAAGTCAGATGCTCAACCGACTAAGCCACCCAGACGCCCCAGGTGGATCCCTTTTGGATGTAACCTGAGGGTTTAGTGCTGATCTTGAATTGAAAACCCTTCAGGGGGAGTCTTTTCTGATACGAATGTTTGGGGTTCCAGTTTCTAGCGTGGTGCCTGGAGGCGTTCAGGGAATGTTTGGCCTGTGTGTGAATGAGCAGATTCCGTGGTTTCTTGACCATATGTGATGTCGTGTGTTTCTTAAAATCTAATTTCATTTGTTTATTCAATAACTATTTATTGGATACTCACTCTGCATCAGGCCCTCTTCTATGTGCTGGGGATGTGACAGTGAACAAGACAGACACCCCTGTGTGAACCTTAGGGCTATCTGGAAAGAGCAGCCTGCTGTCCTCTGCTAACCACCCATCCAGCCGCTGCTTGGTTTTCAGGCTGAGAAGGACGCCGCCAGCGCGGACCCCTACTACTGCCTCTCGGACTTCATTGCACCCCTGCACTCGGGCGTCTGCGACTACCTGGGCATGTTTGCCGTTGCCTGCTTCGGGGTGGAGGAGCTGAGCGGGGCCTACGAGCAGGAATGTGATGACTACAGCAGCATCATGGTCAAGGCTCTGGGAGACCGACTGGCCGAGGTAGCACCAGAACAGGTTTCTGTGTCTGGCCCCCTCGCTGTCATGTTGGCGTCCCCTGTAGATTCCTCATCTTCCTATGCATGGTGTGGGGTCACCTGAGCCATGGAGAGGTCTCCTCCCCTTCCTCTGAGGCTGACAGTGGAGGACCTGGCAGCTGTAATGGTCCTGGTTTCTCCATGTGGCCCCTGTCCTCTATAGACCGTCAGGGAAGTGTTTCAGTTCAAGGGCCTGGAGTCCTCAGACGTTGAATATGATATGTCAGAGCCTGGGCTGAGGCCAAGGCCCTCTAGAGAGCAGCCAGTGAAGCGACAGGCGAGAACCCAGCCCGTCCCCTCTTGCTCGCTCGGTCCTGGTTGTGGTGCAGGTGGGGGTGCCCCAGGCGCCCCTGACGGCCCATGGGGCGGTGGGGGGGGACACCGATGGGGGAAGTCCTTTCCCTGCCCAAGCACACCTCACCCGCCTGCAGGCCTTTGCAGAGGAGCTCCACGAGAGGGTCCGCAGGGAGCTGTGGGCGTACGGCAGCTGCGAGCAGCTGGACACTGCCGACCTGCGCAGGCTGCGCTACGAGGGCATCCGCCCGGCCCCCGGCTACCCCAGCCAGCCCGACCACACTGAGAAGCTCACCATGTGGAGGCTGGCTGACGTGGAGCGCTGCACGGGTACGTGCCCGGGGCTGGCGAGCACCGCCCCTCCCCGCCAGGGACACTGGTGTGCCTTTCCCACCGAGACGCACCTGCGGTCACAAATCTGGAAATACAAAACCCCATCCTTTCTCACTTGCAGCTGTGTATCCGTATTTTACATCCATATCATTATGCCACAATCTTTAAACATTTTTTTAATGTTTGTTTGGTTTTGAAAGAGAGAGAGACACAGAGAGAGAGAGAGGATAAGTGGGGGAGCGACAAGAGAGAGAGGGAGACACAGAATATGAAGCAGGCTCTATCTAGGCTGTCAGCAGAGAGCCCGATGTGGGGCTTGAACACATGAACTGGGAGATTGTGAACTGAGCTGAAATCAGACGCTCAACCAACTGAGCCATCCGGGTGCCCACTCCCCCGTCTTTAGATTGATCACTTTTCCGTTGCTTTCTCTTCACCTATGAGAGGTGAGAATTTAGCTCATCACAGTCCCCCGTGTGCCTCCCGCCCCATTTTCCTGTTGCAGGGCTGTCACTTGTTCTCTCCGCTGGCAACCTTCATGACCCATGACCCAACTTCATGTACCATAGCCCACACCGCCTCCTCTTCCTCCCACCACTCACAGACTGTCTCTGGACACTAGTCTTGTATAAGACCCACCCTGTCCCTCAGCTCTTTCCTCTCTTGGCTTTGACTCTATTGACACAATTCACAGTTACAGTGGAATTAGTCAGTAATCAGAGGCGTGCCATTGGTGCTGATGAAGCGGCGGGAACTTAGGTTTAGGTGAGGGACTGGGGCGTTTGGATGTGGCCGGGCAGGAATGGTGTGGCCTATAGGAACCATAATGTACAGATTAAGGCCTTCCCTGCCATCAGCCACCCGCTGACCTCTGGCAGAGCACTTCCTCTCTGTTCCGCCCCCGTCCATGAAATGAATGGCTTAGAGGACATGGTGTTCCCCCTGAGTTCCTAGCCCCTAGGCAGCCCCGAGTCCTGCTGTGGGCCCTTTCTCAGGGTGTGACCGTTCAGGGCCTGGAGTTCAGATGGCGCTTTCCTCACGGGGTTGGGACGACTCATCTGGGGGCTCAGGCCTAGGAGCAGACAGAGGCCTCTGTAGTCGATCCTGGAAGATTGATGCGGGGGGGGGGGAGGGGTTATACATCTTTCATGCTGTGTCATGTGTCCCCTCAAAGGCATGAGCTCACTTTCATCCACATGTTCAGCAGGAGTCTCACTGGGTGCTAGCAGCTGCCAGGCCCCGTGTGGGGCACCGAATCAGTGACCGTGTTTCCCCACTTTGCTCTCTCCAGGCATTAGGTTAACAGAATCATTAGCAATGACACCTGCTTCAGCGGTATCCGGCCTCTACTTCTCCAATTCCAAGTCCAAATATTTCGCAGTGGGGAAAATTTCCAAGGATCAGGTGAGTTAGCTGTTGCGTTTGTGTGTGGTTTCCCTCAGTGCCATTCTTATTTAAATGGAACAGTGGAACCTGGTTTATTTTCCATGAGAATGGGAATACACAGGGAGGAAAAACACGGCAAAATTTACCCCAGTTAATGTCTTAAATTGTTTCAGCTCTTTACCTGGAATCTTGCCCTCCCATTTTGCATAGACAACCCCCGCCGCCCCAGCACTCACACCCACACTTTAGCCTCCAAGCACCAGACATGCACTGCATGTTGTTTTCTGCCCAGAGAATAAGGCAACTCGGTGAACAGATACATCTCCATATCTCTTAAACTCTAGAGATTTCTATTAAGACAAGAAATGGAAGGCATTTAATGTTTCTGGCAAATCCTGTGGAAATTTCCCTTCAGAAGGTCTTATCATTTGTGGTTTGATATGCTGCTTTTAATCTTTTGCAGATTGAGGATTATGCTTTGAGGAAGAACATGTCTGTGGCCGAGGTTGAGAAATGGCTGGGACCCATCTTGGGATACGATACAGAGTAACTTCTATTTAAAAATCCTTCTCTGCACTTGATGATCCTCAAGGAAATACGGTCTAGAGTGCCTTTAAAAACAGCAGCAACAGTAGCAGCAGACAAGCAGGCCTCGGTCCGTGACATTTGCTTTGCCTCAGGGTTTGGAAGACTGACTGGTGGGACCTCGTGGAGGTGCAGGCCTTCCTGTGTCCTTGGAAAACCAGTGGCTCTTTTCCAGGGGACCTTGACTGATGAGCAGCAAACAGATCTGTCCGGTGGTGTCCCCAGTCCCTCAGGGACAGGGACAAGCTGGAGATACAGGGCTTTTGCATTTCAAAGCAGGACAGTTTGCTTTTTTCATTTTTACCTTGGGTCTAGGAGGCCTCTTATTTTTTTCCTTTTTCTTGGTCTCTTAGAAAAGAGCCTGAAGCTTGGCTGAATTGAGAAATGTATGAAAAATGTGACCGCTTGGCAAAATCACACTGTGCCACTTGGGCATCTTAATGCAGATGGTGGCAGTGGTAAACTGGCCCGGGACGGAGTGCGACTGTGCTCTGTCTGGAAGACCTCATTTTCTAAAGTCGCAATTCCATGGGTATGGAGTCCCCTTTGCAGAAGGCCATTGACCCTCAGAATCGCTCAGCCGTTTGCCCCAATGTGGCCAAATACAGCGGGTTCTCCCAGCATTTCTGTTTCTTCTCATTCCTTATTCCCTTGCCCTGGGGTGGGGAGAGAATGGGGTGACTGAGGGTCGCTAACATCTCGGAGCTGTTTTCTGGGGCTGAGTAGGCTCCCCAGGGCCAAGGCGTCCTGGGTGGACGTGGACGGTGAAAAGCGTCGTGATCCCACTCAATCTGTGCGTTTCCACACCGACCCAGCTGTAGGCTCCTCAGCCTGGGCCTGGCCCTCTCCGGGGCTGCTTAGCAAGTGGTGGGTGGTGCCCCGAGCTCAGCACCTAGCAGGTCCTCCCGGAAGGGGAGCGGGTTGATGCAGGTGGACAGGTACTGGGGAATGCAGGTGGCGATGGCTGCGTTGACTCCCTGAGGGCTCTTTCTGGAATCAGACCCCCATTTACACTGCGGCTGGGACCCAGAAGCTGCCTCCCATGTCCCATGAACCTTGGGACCCGTTTTCTATGTGACAGTGTCTCCCTCGCTCTTGGGGGAGGTCCTGCTTCCCAGATCAGCCCTGTCAGATGTGCATTCAAGGACCTTGGAGGTGAAGGGGGAAACCTGAGGAAATGAGACCCCCCACAGATTTGCACTGTGCGCACGGGGACTCACAGAACAGCTTCCCTTTCCAGCTGTGCTGGGCCGTTAGAGCAAAGACAGCTGTGTGCTTCTTTATGTACAGTTTGTTTCTTGCGTGAGAATGGGACTTGCTTTCCTGAGACGGTTGGAGGACTTCCTTTCTGTTCCATAGCAGGTATGTCATTCTTGGTATATTCTTCCGTGAGAAAGAAGAACTCCTCCAAATAGTTCACGGCAGTTTATCAGAGTTCCAGTTGTTAAGTCTCCTGATTTCATTCAATATTTGCCATCTCTTCTCTCAGCTTATTGTGTGATAGAATGGCTTCCTTCGTTGTTGTTGTTGTTGTTGTTGTTGTTGTTAAGTTTACCTATTTATTTTCAGAGAGAGTGAGTGAGTGTGAGCAAGGAAGGCAAAGAGCCCAGCGTGGGGCTTGAACCCACATGGGAGATCATGACCTGAGCTGAAATAGTTAGATGCTTTACCGACTGAGCCACACAGGCACCCCTAGAATGGCTTCCTTAAATGTACTGTTCATATAATCCCATGATGGATGCCTTGTTTCCTGAAGACAGAAACAATTTGTGTAAGTTTGAGTGCCTGTATGTTCATGAAAGAGTATACGATACAAGTTGAAAACCCCTCCCTTCGTAAATGTCAGGCGACTTCGAAGGCAGGGAGGTGGCCATTCTGAACTTTTCCATGTCGTCTTTTCCATGTCGGTGCCTGCATGTCCCAAGCCTCTTGTCACCATCTGTGACCATCGTCATTTTCACGGAACATCCCACATTATTTTTCCCTCTGAGGAGGACTTGCTTGGAATCTTCCCCTCTCTCTGCTGCATTGAGTCTGGTTTTGGGATGGTGGTTGAGAGCAGGTTTGTGAAATCTCATTTCTCCTTTGAGATATTCCCTAACGTTGTCTCTACATTTACGGCTGACTCACGTCGAGACTAGTCCGCCTTCATTCTGGTTCTCTCTTGTACGCCTTCAACAGATAGTGAGTGTCCCCCACCTTTTCCCTGCTTCTCTCCCAAACCCGGTGAAGTTAGGTTTTGACCTGCCCCTCCTGGCATCAGTGACCTCTCGGGTCAGATGCAGGGGGCCTTCCCAGTGATTCTCCTCTCTGTGCGCTTCGACAATACAGACCACTTCCTTCAAAACCCTCCTTTACCTGATTCCCCCTTGACACCGCTCTCTGGTTCTCCTTCTGTGTTTCTGATCACTTCTCGGCCATTTTTGATTTTTCTTCCTCTGCACTTTTAAATCCTGGTGTCCCCAAGGGCCTGTCTTCAATGACCTTCTTAGCAGGTGTAGTTTCACTGGATGATCTCATGGACTCAGTATCTCCGTCTAGGCCTGTCCCGCAGAGCACAGCAAACATCCCACAGCCCCTTCCAGGAGGGCCTGCAGACCTCTCAGCCCTAGTGCGTCTCATCTCACAAATCCTGAGACTCCATCACGAAGCACAGTGCTGTCACTCCAGCAAGGGCCCTCACACTCAGCGCATATCGTCTTTGGCTTAGACTGAGCAAGTGTCTAAAAAGTTAGCACACGAGAGACACACTTAGCCTACTCTACTTGGGATGGCCATAGAGAAACCTCAGGAAGGCGATGCTTAGACACAGGCTTAGATCAGGCTTAGACAAAGGCCTGATCTGGGACTTGAGGGATAAAGATGAAGATGCAAGGTAGGAACAAGTGAACAGGTGTCTTTGTTCATGAACAGGAACGTTAAGGTGGTAAAGGTATCACATGTACCCAGATTTGTTTATAGGGGTCAGTATCGTTTCCAACAGAAATTACTGTAGAGGTTTTGTTAAACGGGACAGGCAGATATTTAAATTTATATGGAAAATCAAAGGACTCAGAATGGCTGAATGCTTCTAACCATGAAGCAGGGGTTATAAGTTAGTGAGTTTTGTCCAGTGCATGGTGCAGAGGTGGGCATGCTGAGCAGGGCCATGAAATAAGGAGCCTGGAAAATGTTGACCTTTAAGAGGTGGCAGTGGCAGCTGGACACATAGGGGACAGGTGGAGTGACTCCATCCATGGTGCTGGAGCTGTGTCTACCGTATGGGAAAAGGGAAATTCGATTTCTGCCTCTCATGTTGTTTAACAACCAATTCCAAATATATGAAGGTCTTAAATGAAAAAAAGAAAAAATAGTGTCTACATGAGCAAACCTGAGGGCAGGAAAGAACCCCCTGAGACATAAAGGACTAATCACAAAAGAGAAGATGATTATATCAACTTTTAAAAATACAGACTTCTGTTAAGCTGATAAACCAATTAAAGTAGTGAAAAGACAAGTTCTGATGTGAGGTATTTACAATATGATTAGTTGACAAAGGATTAGCAACCAGAATCTATATGGGCTCCTATTTAAGAAACAAACCCAACAAAAAATTAGACTGCAAAAGGCATTTCACAGAAGGGGAAATACATGTGGCTTATAAATAAGTGGAAGCATTTGAGGTCAGGGAAATACGAATTAAGACCACAATGAGATCCCACTTTGCATCCATGAGATTTGCAGAAATGGATCTTAACAGGAACCGGGTGCCAGAGAAGGTCTGTGAGAGCTTGCGTGACATGGTCGTGAGAACAGCTCTCCCTCTCCCAGTTGAACTCTTGCACGCCTTAGGATCTGGCTTATGATTTGGGCTGCCCCTTGGAGATCCAACAAACTTCTTACATGTCCCAGGAGGCATGTGCAAGCATGTTCATAGTAACACCTTTGTAATAATCAATAACCGAAAACACAGAAATGTCCATCTGTCTGTGGGAGAATGGATAAGTAAGCTAGGTATAGTCACACTAAAGGGTATTATTCAGTAGTACAAACAAGTGAACCGTGGCTGTACCTGACAAATCGGAGTGATTTTCAGGAAATATTACCAAAAAAAGCAAGCTCCAGGAGACCATATATGCTATGATGCTATTTTTATTGAGCTCAAAACCAAAGAGTATATTGTCTAAGCATATGTAAATAGTAAAACTATGTTGTAAAATGAAGAAAAACCAAAGTTCAGCAGAGTAATTAACCCTGAGAGTGGAAAGCTGAACAGACCTCCGAGGGACACATTGCTGGATTCAGATCGTTCATCTGGGTCTTGGGTTGTATGGTAGTCGATGGCTGTTTGACGTACTCTTTATAATGTAACAGTTCTATTTATGTGAAATGTATTTAATGCATGTATTAAGTGTATTACAAAATAATAAAGACAGAATAATAAAAATCTGGGATGGTGACTTTGTACCTATACTGTGTATGTGTCAAATCTTTTTTTGTTTGTTTGTTTTTTCAGAAAGAAAGGACCTTTTGGCCAGAGTGAACAGCCATGCAGAGGCAGGGGCCTAGGGGGCTTTGTGTGCATGCAGTGGTGCCGTGGGGCGAGGGCCATCGTGGCTCCCCGTGTTGGGCTTTGGTGAATGAGTGGATGGCAGCATCATTTGCTATGGCACAGAATGGAGGGAGAGGGAGACAAATTTGACACTGAATATAGGCAATCAGATATGTGACTTTGGAATTTAGGAAGACTGGCCTTAGGATCGGGAGGCTTCGGTGTGGAGGTGGAGGTCAGGCTGCAAGAGTGGACGGGCAGCTTGTGGAGAATGTGAGGAGCACAAGACAGAGCCAGACTCCAGGACCAGGGGACGGGGGTGCAGCTCTGTGGCACTTTGGGGGCTGCGGGGACCATTGGCAGACTGTGTCGGGTTGATGATTGAATGGGAAGTGAGGAAGCTGTCTGTTATTTAAGGAATATTGGGTGTTGGGTTTGATAAGTTGTTTATAGACTTTAGATACTAACCCTTTATCAGAGATGTCATTTGCAAATATCTTCTCCCATTCTGTAGGTGGCCTTTTAGTTTTGCTGATTCTTTCCTTCGCTGTGCAGATGCTTTTTATTTTGATAAAGACTACGTAGTTTGTTTCTGCTTTTTCACATGCCTCAGGAGACATATCTAGTAAGAAGTTGCTCTGGCCAAGGTCAAAGAGGTTGCTGCCTGTGGTCTCCTCTAGGCGTTTGATGGTTTCCTGTCTCACATTTAGGTCCTTCATCCATTTTGGATTTATTTTTGCATATGGTGTGAGAAAGTAGTCCAGTTTTACTCTTCTGCGTGTTGCTCTCCAGTTTTCCCAATACTGTTTGTTGAAATTTGACATCCAAAAAACAATCCAGTTAAGAAGTGGGCAGAAGACATGAATAATCATTTTTTTCCAAAGAAAACCTACGGATGGCTAACAGACACTTGAGAAAATGCTCAACATCACCCATCTATAGGAAAATACAAATTAAAACCATGATGAGATACCACCTCACACCTGTCAGAATGGTTAAAATTAGAGCACAATTAACAACAGGTTTGGCAAGGATGTGGAGAAAGGGAAACCCTCTTGCACTGTTGGTGGAAATGCACACTGGTGCAGCCAC